TAAGCTATAGCTTTATAGGCTATACCTTATAAAGAGTAGCTTTATAAAGAGTAGCTTTATAAAGAGTAGCTTTATAAAAAGTAGCTTTATAAGTAAAAGGATTACTTAATAACTTTAGTTCTTACTCAGAATTAGTATAGCCCTCCTAAACTAACTTATTTTTATTAAACTTAGATTTAATTATATAGTAAACTAGCTACTAAGTAGTCTTATTAAATAAAATAGTACTATAAGTATTAAGCAATATAATAAAAAGTAGAATTAATACAGTTTTTAGTATATTTTAATAATTTCTACGTATTATATAGTATAAGTTAAGATAGCTTAAGAGCTACCTAGCTTACTGTAAGGGGCTGCGCTCCGGGGAGCAATCGCGAGGTATACAAGAGGTTGTATTCGATAAGGAGCTATCTACTCTGCTTACGTGGTGTTTATTTACTTATCGGAGAAAGGTTATGCCGGAGTATCTGAGCGCGTTGTCTGAGCGCTGCTCGGTCTGAACGTAGTTCAGATGGTGCGCGCGCAGCTTGGCCCGAGATTCCATCGAGGAGCTATCCAAAGGGCGTTCAGCCCGTTACACTTACTTAGAATATAACACTAGCGCTCTGTTACACGGGGTTTGGCTATACTTCTCTAATCTCGGTCCGGGTTAGGGCGAGTAGACTTAAGCGGTAAGCTGTGCGATTGTTCGTAGTATGCCGTATGGAAAAGAGTTATAGGATTTAACCAAAAGAGTAAACAATTAATTCTATACTAAGATAGAATAACTAGTATCAATCTGTGTAAGAGATGAACTATTCTAAGTTAACCACAACAAGTGTAATAATGGAATCCAACGCATTCTTATACCCATTGCCTTCTGGTCCTGCCATCCCGTCCATCCCAACTTTGTGACTCTTGGCGGGATGGTTGGGATGTCCTGCCATCCCAAGTCCTGCTGCCATCCCTTCCTTGGCGGGATGTCCGGCCTTGGCGGGATGGCACATCACGTGACCCCAAGCCCCGCGATGGCCATCATCTTCTGACGTGGACGTGGTTGGCCTTCAACCTCGTCATCCCGCGTCAAGGAGAGAATCCTTCTCGTTACAAGTAACACGCTCTATACTAGATAAGTATTATTTAGCTACTTAGTAAGTTATAAAAAAAGAGCTAAGTTATTTAATTATAGTACTAACTCTATAGAGTTTAAATGCCGCGCCCTTAATGCAGCCCCTAGCTTCAAGGTGGGTGAGATAGCTATTAGTGGTGGGTTGTTTAACCATTGCCTGTACAGGGACGATTACGATAGAAGATTAGAAACCAGATCGTGAAAATATTATTAAGAGTATGAAGGAGTGAACGACTTCATACCTAAACCCAGTCTTATGAGCATACTCTTACGCTTCTATTGATACCCATCTTGAATACTTATCCAAGCAAAGCCACCATAGTATATCTAATCCTTAAAAAAAACACAAGTCACAAAAAATCCACACATCTACAAGCAGAATACAAGGCTATCCAGCGAAGCGACATGTGTTTCATATTCCAATGTACTAACCTGATTCCCATTTATCCACCAAACTGGTACGTAAAGTTTTTTTTTAACTTCTCAACGTTAAGATTCTGAATACGATGTTTTCTTACCACACCCCTCACAGTCACGTGGACTGGGTATAATTACACTCCATAAAATATTGCAGCATTACAAAACATAATCTGTGACTGTTGCGAACCCGAGGGAAAAGAGACACACGGCGGTCCAGTTAAGCAAACCGCTAGCAGCGACTTAGCCCGTACGATCTTGATGCGCATCGCGGGGAAACAATTAACTACTTGACTCGAACTGCTCGGCATGGCCTGCACGAGTAAGTGTCTCGGCACACTTCTTGCACCGCACTCACGGAGGCATACTCACAAACCCCAAAAGTAAGGATATCCAGCAGCACAATGGATTCGTTATTGCGATCGGCCTCGACGTAGATTTCAGGAACAGATTTCATCGCGAAGGAGATCCCTGTGCATAGCACCCCTGGCCTCTCATCTAAATACCCATTACTCTCACCTACTAACACTGGGTATCTTATAGCATGCCGAGCTAGGATCCTAGAATAGAGTCCAAGGTACCGGTACACGCGGCGTGTAATTACAAAATCGTGCGTGGCAATTCAAGGGAGCGAAATAGCCCAGATGGTAACACCGTTGTTGCCAGCACCGCACGCAGCGCCTTGCCAATTATTCGGCATGTCGCGTCTAACACCGGGATTGTTGTTGCCGGTGCATCCGTGTCTGTGGTTGGGATGCGATCCAAGCTGGCACTGGAGGAGAGTAAGTAGACATCAGATGAAGGGTTTAGATGGGCCACGTACACAGTACTTCCATCGCCAAAGAATATTGTTCCGCTCTGAGTCCGGGGGAGAACTACATGTGAAAGAAGTATCGCAGTAGGTAGGCCATAGTGAAGACGGTGTCACGACGCCAGTGTCAATCGCATATACTCTAGCGTCGTTGAGCTGGAATAACAGAGTAACGGGTATGCATGAGAAAACAGCGGACTTCATGATTATGCCCCAGTAGATGCAAAATAACGACTCGGTTTGATAAACTCGAAATTCTCAGAAATCAAGTCGTGTAACGGGAACATATGTACCTAGCTCTCTATGTACTCTACTATACCTCAGAACACACTCTTTTACCCCCACAAAAGCTCAAGCCCCGTGTGCTCCACGCAAGCGAATCAACAAGAACTAGAAGATCAACTCTTATCAGTTCTACAAACCATAATACAGAGCTTCTACGCATTCTCCCATGTAGTTGAGCCAAGACCGGTTAAAACTATCCGTCTCTGGGTACTACTTACTACCGTAGAGCAGAAGAATACAACCTCTACACCTCTACATTCTCCGCCAGATAGCTACATACGTATTTTACATATCATACACCCAGATGCACACACGTAATCTACGTCAAGTTTACAACAACCCAAGCTATAATAAAATACCATTACGACATATACGCGAAAAGCACGTAACCAGCTCAACTCACGCACCTTGAAAACTAACAAGGTGGAGATTTTTCCACGTCGAGTAATTGCTGCCCGCGCGTAAATCGTAAAAGGCTGCAAAGGAGGGAGGGGGACATGGGTTGCGTACCTACATACACGGGGTCTAAGGAATTGAGGGCCTCTGGAGCCGTCTGACACTCCAGACGGGTATCATGACAAGCAAAGAGGGCCCGATTGCTCCGGGGCTAGCCGCGTCGCAGCTTGCCGTGTCGACTGTATCACACGACGCGGGATCCGGGAGCACTCGATGGCAGTTCTAGTGACAGGCCTCGACCAGATAAGAGTGGGGGGAGGGGGGGGGAATGTGGAGTGTTACGCTGTTCCAGTTCCGTGTCATTACAACAAAGTGCACATCTCAAGATTGCGCCAAGCCAAATATGCTCAAGCTATGTGCGTTGAATATTCAACACCGTCGCCATGCCAATCTCCATGTCGTCCAAACGACTTCCCGCTTGCCGTGCTTATTCCAATCCCGTGCCATGTCCCCCCTTCCGTCAGCGCGCTTCTCCTGATGCTCCCGCCTCCCGAATGATGCGCCCAACCTAAAACGCCGTGCATGAACGTTGTGACAAGCAACCGCAACGCCTCCCTATACAAGGCTCGAGTGACATGTCTGCCTCAGATATGCTTTCGTCGCACATTCTACCCCGCCTGCGGAGTGATCCAGGTAGCTTCCACGCAACCCGCATAAAACTCTCTTTGCCCGTTTTCTGCCTCGACTCCAAATCCCATTGTGCGCAGCTTTGCAGTATCCCAACCGCTGACAAACTCACCCTGACCACCATTTTCTCGGTCAACAGCGTCTCCCAACTTGATATAATCTGCGTGGCGACAGACAGTCTGGGAATACGACCACTGCAGGCAGTTATTGTCGGCAGCGCATTCGGAACCACACGAGCCGGCGTTATGGTGTGCGGGGCGGTCATTGGGCACAGGGGCCGTGGAGAGGTTGTCCCACCATTCGCGGCTTGGGCCTTGTGAGAGGAACGAGTGTGTGTATGAAAGGAACGACGAGTAGGTAAAAGGATGCTGCGCATGTCGTGTTAGTCAAATGGAGTCGCGCGCACATTATTCAAAACCTACATTGTTGTATGGTCGCGTCCTCTCCCACTTCCAGAGATCCTCCATTTGCTGGGGCTTGACTTGATGTAGCGAAAGCATGGGCACGCACCACCTCTCCTTGGTAGTTGTGACGTCCTTGACCTTGTCGCTTGCAAAGGTGGGGTGCATGTTCGCCAGCTTGTGTCCTGTGGCGTTCTGGATCGCATAGGCAAGGACAGCGTCGCCACGCTGCTCTTCCTTGACCCAGCTCTCGTACCGCACGGCAAGGCGGTTCTCACGTGGAATCTCAGTCGAACCAGCCGTCTTGCCGGGAATAAGCTTCTTCACAAGACCCTGCGAGAGGACGATGCCTGCACCGCCATAGGCGAATTGCCGGCCTTCAGAGCCCTTGTGTGGCTCGCCCATGTAATGGGGCTCCGAAGGGTCCAGCTGGCTCAGCAGCCGGAAGAGCGTGTCCCAGAAGAAGTAGACGTCCGACTCCACAAAGACGAACCACTTGGCCGTTGGGTTGGAGATGTAGGCCTTGTCCACCATGGGCAGGTACTTGAAGCGATCAAGCTTGAACGACCTCTGCTGTCCCTTGACCGTCTCGCCTCCCTCGTGTGCCTTCTTCTGGTCGACATAGACCTGGAAGTCGAGATTGTCCTTCTGATAGCTCTTGGGCAGCTCTGCCAGAATATCGATGACCTGCCGGTCGCCTAACCGCTCCTCCCTATCGCCGACTATGATCAGGTTGGTGATGCAGCTCGATACCGTGTTGAGATGTGCCTTGGTTTCGTGTGCGCCGTCGGATGCAACCTTGAGTACAACCTGTACCTCTTCGAGCAGCTTCGTCGGGAAGTTTTTGCAGTAGTCGAGCTCAATGGAATTGGCAGCCTTGGTCTCCAGAGGCGGGAAAAACGACTTGGTCTTGGCCTTACGGGCGGGCCCCTGTGAGCGCGACCCTGTGCGGTGCGACAGCGAGTAGAAGAACAGGAAGAACAGGATGCCTGGAAAGACGAATCTCCATGGCCGTCGCGTCAGACGGCCAGCAATGGCTCTTAGCATACTGTGGTTGTGACGGCCCCAGGCAACGGTGGGCGTCGAGGAGGAAAGAGAGGGGGAAGGGGGGGTGGGGGTTACGACGTAGGACGGGCGCTGGATGGGCGGGCGACGTCGCCGTGACACATTGGACGGCCCTTTGATCTGGGGAGGAGGGAGTGGTGGTGTAGGCGGCGATGGAGTCGCATTGGCCCGCCCGTCGTCGCTCTGCGCGAGTCCAGCCCGGCTCCCTGAATCTGGCTGGCACTCCCAACACGCGGAGGCGCTAGTCTTGGAGCGGTAAGGTCGCCGGTACTAGCGTCTTCCTCATCGGCACTAGCGCCGTCCAATATCAATGCCAGCCGCCTGTACTTTCTCACGCTGGATCTCTCTGCACTCCCCAATACAGCCGGGTTTAGCATCAAGATATCGTATGCAGCAAAGAAGTTGCGTTCTCCATCACAGCAATTTCCCTTGGGCAATAGGCGCTGATAGCCAGTTGAGCTCCTTGTACACCATGAACGAAAAGCGTCAGTGACGATTGCTTTGGGTATGGTTGAGAGACCCATCGTTGATGCATTCATATTTATATAGCTTCCTTGACAGGAGACGTATCCATGTAGTTCCTCTGTCACAGTCCACAACGTACAATTGTCCATATCGGCCTCGGTCACGAGTGCAGCTCAGGAAGTACGTAAGCATACTTATACCCCGCTCTTTCGAACATGAAACTATCCACTCTGAAGCAAGCACTGCAATAAGCAGACAAGTTCAAACACTGCTGAAATAATATTTCTAGTTGCGCTAAGTGTGGCTTACCTACCAGGTTTTTATTACCCCTGCTTTCTCAACTATATCAACTTCTCTACGCCATTAACATGTTTCAACAACTGTGAACATTGTGTAAAGAGAGCTTCTGAAACAGATCTCTACAGTCCGCAGGTCTGCAGTCGGTCACTTATCCATAAATTGCTTCTCTTTCGGTTGATTACTTATTTACATTAGTGATTTAACGCGCCGACGTAGCGGATCTATACTTAATGCCTGGGCCTAATAAAAAAGCTTCAATATACCAAAACTTGATTCTATATACTTGTCTGCTTTTTTTTTATCTCCATCATTCCTTTTCCGGGGCTAACACTTGACCCAATCATGTAGCAGGTCAACCAACCATGACAACACGGCATTCGATATTCTATGCAATGAAAGAGATGGCCACTGGAACTCAAGCTCGCCCCCTTACATACTTTTGACAACTGCGTATGTAAACAAATCTCTCGAACCACACCTACCGCTTACGAGCACACCGCCAATGCAAGACTAATTACAGCACTTCGTTTGGCCATGCACAGGGGGAGATAGAGATAAGAACTTAGGTCGCGCAAAACACTGCGGCTAAACATAGCTCGCACGCGCACGTGTAAAGCTTCTTTAATATAGCAGAGCTAAGTTTTACAGATACCGCAAGTGATAGGGAGAATGCACAGCTGTCAGCCTACAAGATGAATCTTTTGGTACTCATACAACTGGTGTGCGTGGCCAAGACATTCTATATCAGTTAAAGAGCTGCATCGCCGGCATTCTTCCATACGACGTCTCATTTCCATGAATCAACGGAACTATGCGCGGACGTTGTAATTTCTACAGGCCTAGTACATCATGCTATTATGGTGTTCTTTTAATTTTGATGTGATAAATGAGCGCAGTAATTACAGTCACCGTCCAGCCATGCCCTAGAGACATTTATCACCAGACTATAACAGCCACGCGCCACTGTGGTTTTAGTTAGATGAAACATAACAGGGTTCCCACCACTGTGGGTAGTTAAAGGAAATGTACAAGGATCCCATGTTCCCAGATAGGATCTGATTTAGTACACATTGCAATGGGCAAGCGGTGTACTACTCCGAACGATGAGGAGCATGGATTGTGTCACCGATGTGGTAGCATCCTCCGGGACCGTTTCTAGAATCACCTTGGAAGAACTTGCTAGTTTTCGCAGGTATGAAATCCCAAAGAGGCGGTATCAGGAGCTAGTGCTAGTAAGTGTCAATGACGATATTCGAAGTGTACTGCTATGTTTGTCAGCACTCGGCTATTCCTGCCACCCCGCTCCGATGTCATACATCATGACATTGTATCCCCATCTACAAGCATCACAGTACTATTGCATTTTCATACACAAAGTAAACGGACATTCAACAAAACAGTTTAATATTGTGATTTCAAACAGCAATGGCTTACACTGCCGAGTAAGCCCAAGTTTGTAACTGAGTTGTATGTTCTAGTTATTAGTCTAACGAGTACAGTCTTGTAAAACTAGCCCAAAAGCTGGTTCGTGACGGGCCATGCAAGATTGAAAGTACTGCCCGCCGGGTACGCGGGCTTTTCAACGGCATATACGCCTTCGACACTACAAGCGCGCACCATGTGTGGGAACTTGAACTGCGCTACCCACAGTACATGACAGCCTCTCTCCAATCGAGATCCTACAGGCATACTGACTTCCGCAAGATTCTTCGTGCCTATTTCGAGTTTCACAAAAGATGCAAAGCTGTCCCAGGCAGACGCTGTAGATGGCACAGATGGAGCTGCACACCTGGGCACTCTCACCGTGGGCAATCGCATCAGCAACCGCATTCTGCTTTTCCACACTGGCGTGCTCAAGGACCTCGTAAAAGTTGACTTTCGCGCAATAGACCAGTGGTTTGAAGAAGACGTGCCGATCTATGTGCACCCGAAAGATCCCTACAAGCGCATCGACATTTTACCGTCTTCTCGAACCGTAAAGGTCGCTGTTGACGGAGTGACGCTGGCAGAGACCTCAAACCCCCTTTTACTGCTCGAGACGACGCTGAGGACGAGGTACTACTTGCCACCGACAAGTATAAACTGGGAGTATCTTACCCCGAACGACATGGTCACAGGGTGTCCGTATAAAGGACAGGCCGAGTACTACGATGCCACTGTCAATGGAAAGGTGTGGAGGAACGTGGTGTGGTATTATAAGCATCCTACAGCGGAGAGTGCACCGATTGCGGGACATTTGTGCTTTTACAATGAGATTGTGGATATCTGGATTGACGGGGTCAAAGAGGACAAGTAGATAGAGGGACTTGGGTCGGCTTGTCATGAGTAGGCTTGTCATGGGTACTCGGATACAGTTCTCTCCCGAATGTGGCATGTGAATTAGACTCAAACAGCCTTTTGAAACATGCTATGGAGAAGCGGAAGAACACTAATAAGTCCCTGCATATACGGCACATGTATGTAGCTATTTTGGTCAACCAGGCACATGACAGTACCAGAGAATGTCTCTGTACGCCTCATACGATGAGTTTGAACTTGCCCGTCTTCCGCCAGCAGTGTACCATCTACTGAAGGTACAGCCCTTAATACCCGTACATATATCCAGGGTTTCTGCGTAAGCCTGCAGAATGCATGTAGAAAACAATACTCCGGCTGGTGCGTCAGACCCGTGGGTCACCTGAACACCTACACACTTGGCGCTTACTGCAGGGCGGGGATGCACATAGTGCTGACGAGTAATGGACGATGACAAAAATATTGAACCATCTGTCGTGGTTCCAGTTGATCCGATGTATTGGATTTCTTGTCGGAACTCCATGCCGACTTGTGATTAGGGGGTAAGGATTGGGCAAACGCACTCTGGGGTAATACAAGGTTGGCCTGCCATGGAGAAGCACATGCTCGCTGACGGCTTATATGTTTGATGCTGTCATTTCGAAGACTGATTACAGCATACGCAACAGGTCGTTCCGTTGCGTCATCCACTCCCGGCACGGTCAAGAAAAGGCACGTGGGGGCGAAGACCCAAAAAGGACGCAATTAGTTGGCGGCAGATAGCAGATTCGTTGGGACCTAGGTGTAGAGTGGGTGATTGGAACCTGCAGCCGGGTTCGAGAGGAAGCCGTTGCTGGTGTTGTGTGGAGGGTATGACGAAGGTTGTCTGGGGAATGCAGCGGAGGGCGAACCATGGATTGACGATCGGAGTGAGATAGACACGCAAGGCGGCTGGGCGGGGGTTATTGGCAAAAGCATCGCATCTGTTGGCTGTACGGCGCCGAGTCGCCCCCCGGCCTGACTCCAGCACAGCCGCTATTGAGGGATTGATATCGAGATGGTCTTGGCAGGGGGCTAGCCGCATTGGGGGCGTGGCGGAGAAGGACGAAACATGCAGACACGGCCTGGAAGCGCTTTTCGGCTGCGTCGCCTTGGCAGGGGTTGTACGCCAAAATTGCGCTGTCAGCACTCAAGACTGCCCGGAGAGGGGCGCGGTCAGAAGCCTTCACGCGCGCACTTGTACGTCCAGCAGAAAGCGTCCATGTCGAGGCCCATCAGCCAGCGCGGTGCGTTGCTTAGGGGCACAGCTGTGTGTCTTGGCACGGTGTTTTTGTGGCGCCTCCTCCGCTCATTTCCGCCGTTCATGCGCCCGCCTCCCAGCATCACCATCCTACGTACGTGGACGCCATCCCATCGGGAAAACGCTCGATACCCCATGCGCCGTGTTCGCTTGGCTATTCACCTGCAGGTCACACCACCAGCCATTGTCTCTCGTCTGGGCCCGACCCGACTCGTGTGCCCATTGAGTACCACAGCACCGTTGGCTCCGCGGGCGCCTCGCCGTTTCAACACACAGCCCAAGTACATTGCAAAGACAATGGGAACAAATGCTCGCTAGCAGCCTGTAGGCGTCATCATGCCCAGCGTAGCTTCTCCTTGGATTCCAGGGGCATTCGACGCCTCGCTTTCGGCTGGCAGCATGCGTTCGGCTCCGAATAATCGACCCCGCTGCTGTTTCTCCTATAGTTAACCAGCCAACGCCAAGTCGTCGCGCTCGCCTCTTCTCAAAGCCAAGTACGGCTGCTCGTATTCTCATCACCACTAGAGAGGGGCATTGGGCGGTATTTGAGTATCTCCCTGGAGTACTGCAATTTCAGCCTGTCGTTGAACTCAGTCATCGAGGACATCCAATCTGCAAACAACCAGCGCAATGCTCATTGTCTTGCAGGGCTTTCCCACTCAGCCACCTCGTGTCCCAGGAGAATTATCATCCTCCTTTCCCACTGCAGTAAGGCTCCCCGTTGCGGCATCGTCAGCAAGGTATCCCCACCACCTTAATAACGGTGGCGTATCGGATACATGCCACGCATATGCTGTGCCCCACGGCTGCCGAGGAAACGATGTAAGCAGTAAGTATTCCACCTATGTGCCCTAGTCGCGCATCAAACCAGATAGCCAACCAATCTATGCCTGTACGAGCCCACCTGCGCCGACGATCTTCACTCGCTAAAAAAAACAATGACTGAAATAGCTCGTGCCGCTCCTGCGCAAGCTGGCTGCCGAGGAGTGGCTTGCATGCCCAGCTCATTAGTCCCATCCTGCCCGTGTCATGCCCGACGCCGCCGTGCTAGAGCCGGTGATATATCTATAGGAGTCGCTCTGCTCAACATTTCAGGCCTCTACGAGTTGTCGCCTGTCCCTCATCGGCTCTGCTGTCAACCCCGAGGGCGTCGAGACCCATCACCCTTGGAAGTCATAGACTTCTGTACACTCGCTTCTGCACCACACTCTTTCAAATTCCAATTAATATGTATCTCTCCACTTTAATAGGCCTCGCGGCCGGACTCGCATCCCACGCTGTCAACGCCGCTTGCAGTGCACCGCTTAATATTGATGACTTCTCCAAGTACTCCTCCAACCAGAACAGCTTGGGTTCCTGGACGAGCGGTTCGTCGTCTTTGTGTAGTCGTCCGTGAGCATCAGCTAATCAACGCAGATGATAGTTCCATGAGCACCATCTCCGCCAACAATGGCGTGCTCTCTTTCCAGCCCAAGTCAGGATCCTACTTCTACGAGACGTTCACGTGCCAGGCTGCCTCCACCAATGGATACAACTCCATCAGCTTCCAAATGAAGGGCCCTGCCGGTGGCTCTGCCATCTTGGAAATCCAGACCAAGACAAGTTGCTCTGCTACCGCCTACACGTCCAAGTACGTCTCTATTACTGGATTGACTGGAAACACCCAAACCATCAACATTCCTCTTTCTCAATTCTCCGGCGCAAACACCAATGCCATCACTGGCTTCGTCTGGTCTACCTTTTCTTCCACCACTACCACATGGCAAATGAGCAAGGTTGCTTTTGGATGCGGCTCCTCTTCTGGAAGCCCAACTTCGGCCCCGACTACCAAGCCAACAACCAGCTCTACGTCGACCACCGCCCCTCCCGCTTCCACTGGTACCTGCTCCCCCTTGGTCATCGATGACTGGATCTCCCAGTCTCGTCTCACCTTCTTGTTCTACAACGCCATGGGCTCGCCCACCTCGGACGACGGAACCATGACTTCCATCACCGTTGGAAAGCCCGCTACCAACCGTGTCGAGTTTGTTCCCAAGGCCGACTCCTACTTTTACAGCCAGTTTCCTTGTGTCGATGCGAAGACCAAGGGATACAACGGCATCTCCCTCCGCATCAAGGCTCCTCGTGGCGCTACCCTCAACGTCCAGCTCGACTCCTCTGATACCTGCGACCCAACCAAGGCCAAGTCGACGTACGCCTCCTCGAACGACCTTGGCTGGACTTTTGACGGCACCGAGAAGCTTTACACGATTCCTTTCAGCAAGTTTTCGGGATTGAACACGGCCAAGCTCACCACGATCCTTTTCTCTGGCTTCTCCGGTACCACTTCCTTTGGTCCCATGGCCTTTTACTGCGGAAACTCGGGAGAGTACGTTCCGCCGCCTCCCGCTTCTGACCCTGGTGCCAGTGCCACCGTGCCCGCACCTGCCAACCCTTCTGCCACCAACCTCGTGATCGACAAGTTCGCCAACGCTAACAGCAACGCTCTGGGCAACTGGCACGGCGGTGACGAGGGCATGACTCTCAAGTACGCGAGCAACAAGCTCACCATCACCTCGCCTGATGCTGACTATGCCTTTTACACCCAGGTGTCCAGCGGATGCTCCGACTTTACCAAGTACAAGGGCTCTTACCTCCACATTGCGTACTCTGGTACCACTGATTTCACAGTCGCCTTCCAGCAGCACAACAGCAAGTGTGACACCAGCATTGCTCCTTACCCTGAGACATGGGACTCTGCCGAGGCTGGACGCTATGCCAAGAACGGCCACATCTACATTCCCATCAACCACTTCAAGATTGACCTCACCCGTGTTATTGGCTTTGCGCTCAAGGGTTTCCACACCAAGGACTCGGTCACTCTCTCCGTCATTGAGATTGTTTCCTCCGTTCCATCCGGTGTCACGATCCCCAAGAAGGACGAGACGGGTAACCTCATCTTTGCCTGCAAGCGCCCCAACTCCTTCGCCTTTGCCATTGACGACGGCCAGCCCAGCCTCGCTCAAGAAGTCCTCAAGATTATCCGCGAGGAAAACGTCAAGGTCACCTTCTTCACTGTTGGCGCTCCCCTTCTCGACGCCTCGACTAACTTGACCAACGTCTACAAGGAGATGATGGCCGCCGGCCACCAGCTTGCTCTGCACTCCTTCACGCACCCCAAGATGGAGGGTCTTCCCGACTACACATCCATCGACTGGGAGTACAACGAAGACGTCAAGGCCATGAAGTCGCAATTCAACGGCTACACCTCCAAGTACTTCCGGCCTCCCTTTGGCAACGAAGGCGCCCGCATGCGCTCGCGCCTGACAAAGGCCGTCGGCAACGACGCCAACATTGTCAACTGGAGCGTCGACGTCGAGGACTGGCTCTGGGCCGAAACCAACACCCCCGAGCAGCAAAAAGTCGCTTTCCAGCGCGACGTCGACAAGGGCGGTAACCTCGTCGTCTTGCACTACCTCTACCCCAGCACCGTCAGCTACCTCCGCGAATTCATCCAGATCGCTAAGAAGACTGGAAAGCAGCTTATGCGTGTCGACCAGTGCATGATGGATCCTAATGCGCCTCCGTTGTAAATTCTAGCCTTCTTTCCTGCTCATCATCTGCTTTTTTGTATACTCAGTGTAGATGTTTTCAAGTTGTGAAAGATGGTGGCACGCGAGAGATACCATGTGTTGTTGTTGTTGTTGTTGTTGTTGTTGTTGTTGTTGTTGATGTTTGTTTGTTAATGTGCGTACATACAAAAAAATCTTTCCTTGTAGATATTGCATGTAGTAGTAGGTATGAATGTGCGATTGATAATGAGTCGCGAAAGTTGAATGTTAATCTTTTTTTTTGGGTTAAAAAATTATCCGTGTGTTATCTTTGATGGTGATTATGATTGTACCAGTTCTTTTTTTTCGTTCTCTGTTAGAGCTCGGATGCGTTGAGTGGTAGTTCTTTTCTTTTTTTTTCTTTCCTGTTCTGCTATTCACGTACATGGTGCGTTTTGCATTGTATCTCGTTACTAGACTGCTACTTCCACAGCTCTACGGTCCCCCAAGGCCAACTGCACCATGATACGCACCGTATCTTGCCCTGCCAGTAAGTAAGCGTGTCGCAGACCCGGCTATCCCCAAAATGGCATCGTTCCAACCAACCACTATCTCTGTTCTCAGTTGTCAGTATCGCTATATTAAGCGTAGATCCAGAAGAGAGCTGCGCTAGAGCTAAATAGGCGCTTTTTTATCGGCATAGAAGACTTTGCCCACCTCGTTGCTATTGGCTGGGTTAAACACGCTGCGCATCACGGTGTAGACCCGGGGATATCGGGAGTGTAGCTCCCCTGCTAAACCGAGCAAGATATAGTTGCTGGATTAGTAGAGCTTCTATAGATGGCATAAGGGAATTGAGGTCGCGGGAGACATTGATTGCTCTCACACCAAATCATCATTGCTGGACTGTAGCATATCCTCTGTTTGTTTTCTTGTCAAAGTCTTTGTAGAGTTTGTCGATGTGTCTTTTTTTAGAAGTGATACCTATGTTCGATTGGCCAAGAACATAATAAAACCATAGTCTTTGTAGAGTGAGAAGATGGAATGGAGCGTATCTGAACTCGCTGATATCTTCTTCTTCTTCTTCTAGGCTTAGCGCATGAGGACAAGAGTTGTTCTACGTCCTTGATGCATATTACGTGTCAATTTACCTCATTGTCCTTAGAAACTCACCGATAAAACCTTTTTTTTACACTACTCATCATGAGACATGCCTAGCCAGTCAGTTAGATCCCATCATGCAGTTCTGTATAGCGATATGTCGGCAAAAAAACTGCTGACCATTAGCGAACACGATAGGAGTGATGAGCCAATAAAATTTGGAAGTGTATGTATTCCTTTGTGATGGCCTCTTCTCTTCGCGTGGAACAATACAGTACATATTTCGTGAGAAACTGCTAGCTTCCACGCTCATAGATACCGCTAACGTATTTCTCAATGCCTCTATGATCTTCCTCTTCAGATATATTACAAGTATAGCAGAGCAGCCAAGAATCCCCAAGGATAATCCAGCTCGAATTCCATCCATTACGAGCAGCACCAGCTCGTCGTGTCTGGAATGAGTTCTAATTACACATCTGTGTTAGCTTCTAAACCCAACACTGCGTATAATTACACATACTGCAATCCCCTTTCGGCGAGCTTCCAAGGTCGCACTACAGTCTATATTTTAGCAAGTGTAATATTGTACCATGTTGTACTACTCACATAGAAAATACCTTTCTAGAATCGATGTTAGTGAATTACAAGAGCACTGCTAAAATGAATACTTACGTTCGAAGGGCAAGTGACGCCGTTGTCGTTGCTCTGGAGCTGACAGCGAGCGAGGACAGTCGGGGTAAGCATGGCCAATGCCGTGAGAATAGCCATAGTAGTCTTCATAGTGGATGGATGGTTGTAGATTGAGGATTGCAAGGTAATGAGTGTAGTAGAACTGACAATGTTCGATGCTGAATGTGGTTTCCATCTGCGAGCAAAACCTGGTGTTTATATACTCATCTGACGACACATGATAGATGCAGACCCCATACCAATTCGACTTGTGAGCTACACGGCCCGACTGTGGTGGCAAAAACAGAGATCGTTACGTTCCCCCCAGCCACGGTCGCGACCCAATGGGGTGTTCTAGAACTAAAGTGGGGGGAGGGAGGGAGGGGAGCATTACTGCTCCATTTCAGTCTATACTTCCTTGCCAGAACCGCAGCATGTGTATGGTGTACGCTGATTCCCGTCTGGGGCCGTACTGTCGAAGTGGTGCGACCGGCTTTAATCAACGGAGCTTAATGCCGACGTGAATAGGCATAGCCTCGAGACACGGAGTAGATGGAAAGAGTTATAGCATCGATAATAATCTATAATAGGGAATTAATATCGACAAAAAAGACTGTAATAGGTAAGTAATATCGAAAACAGTCGATGGTAGGTAAGAATGACTACGTGTGATGTACCGCGTTTCCGTTTACAAACTGCTACTAGAACCGGCTGGGTCAGGTAAATGTGTCGTGTACATGTACGGCTCACATAAGCGCAATTTGCGGCCCGCATTAACAAAGTGTTCCGTCCAGTAGACAGGCGGATAGACCGCGATAACCAGGTAGGGGAAAAACTGATTCCAACTGACTGGGCACTGTTTTAACTGGCTCTTCATACCATTCCGATGGGATAGGGGGCTTGTGGCTTGATGTTGCTTACTTTGTTTGCCTATTAGGGATATCGGCTACGCCTAGCGCCGATGCCTTTCGCATTTGCTGCCGTTTGAACAAGGGCCTACGTGCTTCCGATTGTTCTGGCCTTTGTCCATTCTCGATATAGACGTTGATTTACTCGCCATGTTTCAAACGGGCAATGCCAACTCCTCGCTGAAGCCGCTACGTGGATCACATGTTGTTGGCAGGATTGATTGGAAAAGTGATCAGCGGAAGGACCGGCAGAGCATTGGAGGAGAGGTTATCGTGCGTTGTAATTTTCTTTCTTGTTTTGTGAGGTATTAAACAAGTAATAGTATTAAAATTCCTTGCCCAAGGTAATTCTGGAGATTCTTTCTTGCAGTTTGCGTGAAAGACGGTTCTTTGTGATCCGAGAAAGTAGCCAGGTCGGCTGATTGGCTACTTAGCAGTTACAGTACCTGGTAAGTAGCCCGTTCTCGACAACATGAACATGGATCTTATCACGCCATGGTCCAGCATGTTGTCTGCTTGGCGAATAACGGCCTGCCCATAATCCAATGGAAGCTGATGTTTTGAGTGGGAGATTCCATGGGTACGACACTCCGTGGCTCTCCGTTTGGATATGTGTTGCTACAAGTAAGTATGTAGCGCCTTAGCCTTGGCCTCTAGCAAGCACTGCAACTGCCTACCATCACACCACAATGTCTATAGACGACCCATTTTCTGTCATTTTTGCTTGCCTCTCTTTTTCCGCCGACTGCGCCACTGGAACTATGCATATCCCTGGCTGACTGTGTCATAGCGTCATGCAAGGGGAATGCAGCACCGCGAATAGGGAATCCCGAATCCTCTACAAATCCAGGACGTATTGATTCCCGTCCCGCAATCGAGTCAAAGTGCAGCATGTATCCCACATGGCTAGCCGAAACAGTATTTCAAACTCTATTGCTCGGCAAAGTGCATCAGGTATTGATCCATCACAGCAATCGGTGCATGCAGGTTGCCGAGGTACATTGAGCTACATCGTGCCGTTCAAGTCCTCGGTTTTCGGACACCATGAAACGGAATCGATGAAATACCTCCCGAGCCCAATGCGGTTAAGGAAGCATATAAATACACATCGCTAATGTTTGGTAAGGCAGATGGTAAGCTTCTCGAAAGATAAGCTCCGAGGATGCACCGCAAGGATGTATGGGAAAGTTTTACGCGAGATGGTCTGGGTCCATAGCGGTTAGAAACACTGATTTGATCTAGGGTGCATCCGAGAAAGAACCAGCAACCGTGCGAGCAAGTGAAGTGCCGCACCCTGTGCTTCCATGGCGGATCAGGGAAGAATGTGCAGCTGCCACTATACCAAAATCGTGGAGGCACGTGTTGATATCGGATCTTGTGTAATTTTCAAGAAGCCCGTGTATATTACTGACTAAGTTCGTTACGGTGCACCTGGCTTCGGCTCTATAGCAAAGAGCTTATTGAACATATTGCTCGGATCATACTTGGCCTTGAGCACTTGGAGACGCTCATAATTGTTCCCAAAAACATCCCTGGACCTTTCTTCGTACTCTGTACAGGATTAGCTTGGTTCCACGGGCCGATACAAGAGCGGCACGTACGGTCATAATTCCCATACACCATTGTGGCACCATGGCTTCCTTTCTTGCCAATCCATCCATCGTTGCTTTCGCCCGTCTCTGCACCTCCACGCTGGAGCTCGTGTTTGAACAAAAGAGTGACGTCTCTTGACCACTGTCTACACTCTTGATCATTCTTCTCGTCCCACCACAGCGGCGCAACAGCTGCATTGAAATGTAGGCCACGGTTTGCAAACGCCGTGTCGAAGTTGGTTACTGCGACAAGCCTGGTGGGGTCGAGTAGTTCCCACATGACCTGCGAGCCAGCTGCATCAGGGTTTTCATCCGTGAATTTGGAGTATGCTTCGAGAACCGACAAGACAAAATCACTCCGTACGGGAAGTTCGAAAGCTGCGCCCTTGAGGGAAGCTCGGGCGCCTATGGGGAGATCCATGAGTTTATTTGCTTTAGCGTAGGGCATCATTGACATAGTGCTGATCTGCGGCTGCTGCGCGATCACGTCCTGAAATAGCTTCTTGCCTTCTTCTTCATCCCCGCGATAGGTAACTACTACGAAGAACATGACCTGGCCGCCTGCAGGTGGTGGTCGGACAAAGCCAAAACCACCGGATGCCTTGTCCACCGCTTTGGTAACCCCGTCTGAATCAGGTGTGAAGATAGTATTGAAAGCCTCAACAACTTTCTGGATGGTGTCAGGCACAGGCGGGAAGAGCATGAAGCCAGCCCACAAGTCGCCGGTTTCGTGCGCTTGGAAGACAAACTCAACGCCGATACCGAAGTTCTGGCCTGCGCCACGAACAGCCCAGAAAAGGTCACGATCGTCCTCGTTGGAAGCTTTGACGATGCTGCCGTCTGCAAGGACAACCGTGCATGCGATGAGATTGTCGATGACCAGCCCATGTTTGGCGGTAAGCCAGCCAAACCCGCCGCCAAAAGTAAGCCCGCCGACCCCTGTATCCGACACAGTGCCGCCGACGGCTGCAAGCCTATAAGTATGGTGCAAGGGCGGCATCAACGTATCCCCATACTGCACCTCCACCCACTTTTATCGTCTTCTTTTCCACATCAACCTCGGTAGTGCGCAAGTGTGTTTTGAGATTGATAAGCAGACCGCCGTCAGTCGAGGATGCACCGGCTGTGGAATGGCCGCCTCCTTTAACGGCGATGTCGAGACCATGCTCCGAGGCATACTTGAGCGTGATGGATATTTCTTCTGTAGATTTGGGAACCAAACATGCTCCCGCCCGCTTCTCTGCCGCCCGCGACCAGCGACGAATGGACGCCGTGTATGCATCTTCTTCGTTTGGTGTCACAAGTTGAGCTTCGGTATCTTTGAGTAGTTCTCGAAGCCTTTCTATGTCTTCATGGCTGATCGGACGTTTTGGTTCCATTCTCGTGAAAGTTGGAATGTGTTTATCGGAATTGAGTTGGGAAAATGTAAGGAAGTGTGGAGATTGATGTAAGGAAGTGCACTTGTATTTTCTCTCAGGTCATGCCATGACTTTAACACATTTACAAAGTGGCACTCCTGGTGGTCGAAAATAACCTTTGTGCTTGGATTTGGAGTGTCAGCTTACTGCCATCAGCAATGCACAAAAAGAGCGAGTAGCAGTTGAAACGTTCCGCCCTGCCAACAATCAGCATCCAGACGACTTCTACCAATACTAGTCTTTGATCTCAAACACTGCCACGATATGTCTTGGTAGGATTTAGGCTATCCGCTTGGCGTTGTCATGACGATCGGGTTCTCATTCGCCGATGGCGTTCATCAGCTCTTATCTCCCTCGGCAATAGCACAAAGTGAGATGTTTCTCATCACATCATCTCTTTACATTCCGTTGGTTAATCCAATAATTCTCCTCATTCACGCGGTCAGCCGTTAGGCGTATCATCTTTCGCCCCGCCAGGATCCTGATGCCATGGCCCAAATGTGCGATGCATTCTCCCCACATAAGCAGCCATAAGTCTCTTTCTTACTCTCCATGAAAAAGAGGGGGTTCCGTATTTCCGAATCTTCCAGTAATATCTTCTTCGATTGCGACTGCAGAATGTTTCGTGAGCTGCTTGGTGTATGATACAGCAGCTTGGCAGATTATAATGTAATATTCTAATCACATCATAATCTCGTGATTAGTACAAGAGATTTTTCGTCTTGTTGTATGAACTGATTCAGTTCTTGCCGTTTGTAGTGCTAACTTCTTCGATACGACTGCAGAGTTGGGACTGAGGAGTAATCAAGCCACAGGCAGTTGACATCAATGGTCATGGAGAGACATTTGAATCCTAGATACACTATTAGTTCTGTTGTAGTAAGTGATATACGGCATGCATTATGTAGAGTATAAAAGCGTTTAGGTTTGCTATTCCCCCCAGAGATGACGTGCAGATGCGGGGCAAGCCAAGGCTGAGATCAGCATACTCCCAAGCACAAGTCACCCAGTCTGACACTAGCGGCATCCTTGTTCTTACCACCCCAACCTGTTTCTACCTTCTCTTTACTGCGCTTAGCACTTGCTCTCATTTCTCAAGTTGCATGCGTTACTCATTGGCCATGATGATCGTGACTAGTAGTGGTGTGTGCCTCTCAAGCTATGAGTAAAGCTTTCGCGACGTGAAGTCCAGCGCATGGCGAATCTTGTGCATGAGGAATAGACTGGCCATAAGTCTTTTGTCTCTCAGGCCTAATTGAGTATCAACGGATTTCTAAGCATCAAAAACCGTGACTTACCACATATGTGTAGCAGCCAAGAAAGAATAAGGCCCCATGGTGGGAGTCCCGGCATCTGACTGTATAGCCAAAGCAGTCATGGAGCTACGTATACATGTTTTTTCTACAGTCACAGCACAAAGAAGCACTTGTATTCTGCTTGCATTCCATATATATGATATCTGGATTGAAATGGATCTTCTTTATCCACCTCATTGTACCTGCTCACAAGTGATCGCGAAAGAACAAACAGGCAAGTGGGCGCGGTGCACTAACATATGTTCCAGGTCCCATAATCTACATATTTCAACTTTGAAACAATACTCTTTGCAGATAAATTGATTATGCTTCGAACGCTATCTTTAGGTGCGGTTGGAGTAAGGCATGTTGTGCTTGCCTTTCCAAGACCATCAAGCCACGTGACCAGGTCCAGGTGAACCACGGTTGTCTTTCACTGGGAATGAATGCGCCATCACAGTCCGCGAATCAAATAAGTTCAACGCAAACAAGAATTTATTTTTGGATACGAGCGTCCAGGTATCCTTCACATCTCTGAAAGACCAGTTTTACCCTCACCTTTCCAACCCGCTAGATTCAACCTCAAAGCTGCAGGCAGGTAGCTGCAGCACTCTGGACCGATTCCGTGCCACCCTCCATACATTCACGTCTCGAGAAGCGATACCTTGGAAGACAGTACTGTAGCCTTTCTTGTAGCGTTCGCCACACAAGCCAGATTCGACAGTTGCCTCAGCTCTTGCCTTCGCCACGGACCTAGCCGACCATCTTGGTGTGAGAGAAAAACTTAGAACCACGCTGACTGCCCTGATATTAGCCTCACTGCTACCGAAAACCGGTTTCCGGTCTATCGCAGGCGCTCGCCATTCAGATCCGATATCCGGTTTCCACGTACCCAAACGCACCCGATTCTGTTGATCCGCGCGCGACCGTACCTCGAACATCAGCTGGCGTCCGGCCTGTCTACCGCCTTTGATTTCTCTCGCGCACCCCAAAATACCTTCCAACATAATGCAATCTGCGTCCGGCATTTCAAATGGAAACTCACTTCCAGAAGCGCCACCCGAACCCTCATGCCATAGCCCCATAGTGTCTCAACCTAGCAAGGCACCTCAAGAACTGCCTGAGTCCCCCACACCTTCAGCACCATGTTCTAGCCACACCTCCCCACTCGAGCGCCGGATTGCTACGCTTGAGCGAGAGAAAGCGGATCTCGCCAGACTAGTCACCGAAGCTGAAAACGAGACAGCAGCAGCGAAGCTGCGCGCGCAGGATCGTTACACGGAGAAATTACACGCCTATAACGAGGTCCGACACCTTCAGCAAGAGATCAAAGACCGGGACTTTCGACGTAAAGATTACATGATCAAGATTGAGAAGTCCTTCCGTAGTCTCAGGGCTACTATTGCACAACTTGAAACCGAAAAGTCCAACAGAGATTTTGGGAGGGAGAGCAAGGGCAAGATTGAAGAACTCGAAGGGCAACTCAACGATATGCAAGCTGGCTTTGTATCTTCGCAAGAAGAGAAGGCTGCCATGAAAATCAAGTTTGATCAAACCACGGTTGATCTCAAGAAGCTTGTGCTGAGCCTGAAATCTTCTCTCACTGCGGAACAAAAAAGGGCCGCAGCCATGGAGAGCAGACCAACTGCTGAAGAATTACAAGCGCGAGTAGACGCTGCAAAAGCGGACGTCGTCAAAGATATGAAAGCCAAATGGCAAAGCGAAATTGAAGAAAACAAGGCCAACTTCAATCAGCGGGAGAAAGAGCTTGTGCAAAGCCATAAGACAGAGTTCAAAAACGCCAAAACTCACTGGCAGTCGAGAATTAAAGCTCTGGAGGCCGAGGTGTGCGCAAGGGACAAGAAATTGGAAACCGCAAAAAAAGAGTTAGAGCTGCTAAGACAGCAGCTGCATCGTGCCATGCACAATAACATGCAGACATCCGATACGCAACAGCATCTTCCAAATGTCTTCCAACAGGCCTCCGACCCGAACAAGAAGAGGAAGCTTGATGCTAGTAGGCAAGTTGTACCTTTCACATCATCAATTGCGACATGACTAATAGCCATGTTTAGGAGTGTTAATGTGGGACCACAAGATTGTCAGCGCGACCGCACGCAGTGCGTCCCCTCTAGTGCCAACCAAAATCCCCGGGACCCACGCTTTCATTCGAATGTTGTCATGTCAGCGGTCGCACCGCAGAGAAGCTTCCAGCAATCCATGGGGGTCACGCTGAACGGTGGACATGGGCAGCATTCATCGCCAAATTCAAATGCCAGAGCTGGCCCTTCTACACCCAGCCGAATCCCTCGATTGCAAAACGGTATTTCTGGATCTAACAACAGCCAAAACAATACCATGACTTCACAACTTGGGAGTCCCTTTGAGTTTCAACCAACTCTAAGTCGTCCATCACCTCAGCAGCAGCGTCCATATGTACAAGGAATGAGGCCGGCCAACATGGGATCCAAGGTTCCCAACCATTCGCAGCTACAACCTCAACTACATCAGGGCCAGACTCTCCGTCCCGGTTTGGATATAGGTGTCGCACAAAATGTATATGGCACAGCACAGGCACCGCTGGATACAACCATGTACGGTCAAATGTATGGAAACAGCGATATTACCGATCCGTTCTTAACACCCATGCAAGCTACTGGCACTATGTCTAGCTTTGGAAACGAGGGGCTCATGGCTACCACAGCTCCAGCAAACGAGGTTGGGTTCCGCAGTGAATATTGGGGATGCCCTGCCATGCCGAACAATCCGATGTCTCAGGGTGGAAACAACGGTACTTAGGTTCAGCCAACGACAAATACCATCTCGACGAAAACGAGTGGAGCGTCTCAAGCCAGGGAGACACCATCACGACGCATGTCTTTACGGGTGGCAGCATTCAAGAATGGAAGATCTGTGACTTTGTGGTGTGGTTTGACTGGAAGGATCTGGTGTTGAGACGTCCCATGGAGCATGCAGATATATCCAAGTGCTCGCATGTCCTAGGGCAACCATACACGGCGTTGGATTAGATTTTCTTTTTTTTGAAGAGCCGGCTTGTTGCAAAAGTCCTTGGCGGTCTTTTGAAGCTCTCTTCCAGGGTCAGAAGCTGGCTTGTTTCTGGAATCCTATCAATCATGGCATCCGGTATGATGAAGGACTGAGTTTGGTTGCGGTATTCTGCAGTCGTGGGTCGATATGACGGCATAGTCTTGGATAGGAGGCGGGCTTGAGCGGTGGAAGAAAGTCGCCATTACTGGTCTTATCGTATACTGTACCGTCCATGAAGTTCAATGCAAGGGAGAATGCCTCAATCTATGTACTGAAAGGTCAGAAGAGCTAGCTTGTTGCCGATGGAGCTAAGATCGCGGGGTTGGGATAGGGTTTCGGGCTCTCCCCGGCGTCCAGATAACAGATGAACTACGCCACCAAACTGCACCTGTTCTCCGCGCCCGCTACAAACCTCTGTCCAGACTGAATTATTTAATATTCAGCGTCGGAAGGATGTCCGTCTCGAGGGCACAGCACACGGTACAGGCGCGCAGAGTGGGCGGCTCCGGTGGGCGGCAAGCGCGCCATTCCGTTCCGAGCATAGTTTCTCAAGGGTTCAGGGTTTTCCACTGCAACCTCCACCCCACATCTTGTATCGCCCAAACTCTGCTTGGCTACCGCTTGCATATCTTCCTTGCTAGGTCTCCCCAATCACGCTTCCATCTGCTCGCCCGACGCTTATCTATTCCTTCCGAATTGCTGTGCGCTCTCGGCATGGGCATGTTCGCCCCCCCCCCCATGGCCTCTGCCATGGAGCGACCTTGGTATCTCCAGATAAGGACATGGCAAATCACTAGGGCCTTGCTTAGCGACGGCTGGCGTGAGTACAAAAGCTTTCGAGCCGCGCAATGCTGGACGTACAAGTCTTTCCCACCCCAAATCCCTCATGGCGTCCAACGAGCCCGGTCTGGCGCCGCTCAGTGCGCTCGCTGAGGATCCCACAAAGGGCGCCGTCGACGTCCCAGTCGACGCCGATACCCCCGTCGCACCCGATCAATTCGACGAGCGCTACGAAACAACAAAGCGCGAAATTTGGGCGTACTACTGGTAGGTAATCGTGGTTTGGGCGCACGACATGTTGAGTCGCCTTAATGACCAGACGACAGCTACTATGTAGGAGACAACGGTCTCACGCTCTTCAACTTTGGCCCTACGGCCTTTCAAAACCTCATGTACCAGGCTGCCGGCGACTCGGAGATTCTGTATTTCATGGGCCGGGACCGCACAATCAACTCCATTGTGCTACTATCCAACGGCATCAGCTTTGCCCTTCAGGTTGTCATCTTCCTGATTCTGGGTTCATTCGCCGACTTTGGAACTTGGAGACCCAATATTCTCATTTGTCTCTCCATCATCGCGTTTGGCATTGGATTTGGCTGGCTAGGCGTTCATACCGAAGACAAATGGCATGCGGGTGTTGCCCTCTACATTGTCGGCCTCATTGCCTACCAGACGACCATCACTTTCTGGACTGCGGCGTTTCCCGGCCTCGCGCGAAACACTAAAGAACTACGCCTCAAAGCGGAGGAGTTTGCCGAAGGCAAGATTACCCGTGCAGAGTATGATTTCGCCGACATGATGAAGCGAAATGAGCTCTCCAACACGGCCTTTTACACGCAATCCGTCTTTGAGATACTCATCCTCGCCGTCATCGTAGGCATCATGTTTGGGCTCCGCGTTAACGACAGCACGCAAAATAACAACTGGGGCCTCTCCGTTCTGATAGCATTTGCCACAGGCGTATGGATTCTCTGTGCAATCCCATGGTTTATTCTCGAAAAACGACGACCCGGTCAGGATCCCGGCCGCACAAACATCATCTTCGCAGGCCTCAAACAACTTGGTTATGCCGCGCAGCAGATCTGGCAACTCCGCCAGAGTCTCGCATACCTCGTCGGCTATTTTCTTCTAGGCGACAGCCTCAACACTACCGTCACTGTTATCGGCACGTTGCAGAACGAAATCGTGGCCTACAACAGCCTGGAACTCACCTACTTGCTCATTGTCGGCATCGCCGCGCAAGCCATCCGTATCGCAGCCTTTTGGCGCATCCAAAAGGCCTATGGCCTCTCGACCAAAACAATGTTCATGGTCGTCGCCATGTGTATCGTCCTGCTCGACGGCTGGGGCATGATCGGCATCTGGACGCACCGCTTCGGCTTCCACAACAAATGGGAAGTCTGGGTCTACCAGGTCTTCTACGGCCTCGTCGTGTGCCCCTGGTACAGCTACTCGCAAACCATGATCTCCGAAGTCACGCCCCGCGGCAAGGAGTTCCTCTTCTTCAGCCTGTTCTCCGTTGTCGGCAAAACGAGCGCCTTTATCGGACCCCTGGTTAGCAGCGCCATTATTGATGATACCGGCAACAACAGTAGTCCGTTTTACTTTTTGTTTGCACTGAGCGTGGCGAGCGCCGCGTGGCTCTTTTTGTTTGTCGACGTGGCCAAGAGCAGGGTTGAGCAGGATCTGTTTTTGGAGAGGGAAAAGAGCGCATTGAAGCTGCATGATGAAGAAGGGTTAGATACGCTCATGTAGACAGGCTCGCGCCTGGTGCCTCTGAAATTACTACAGCTTGGTTCTGCCACTGTTTTCAATCCCCACTTTACAACGTCTTGGTACCTGCTTCTTCTCCTAGAATTAATGCTTAACATGCGCTCGTAGCTACATGTCAGTTGGACATGGCCGAAAACTTCACACTTCTTCCTCCCCCCCCTTTTTTTTACTCCTTTCAAAACACCTGGAAATGCTTGCACATTCTAAACAACCCTCCTCCTCACACACCTCATCTTCCACACCTACGCTATGCCTCCTTCCAGTCCCTCCAGAACAGCCTCAATTTTCTCTTCTCCAGGAAACTTGACAAACCGCGTCATAACCCTCTGTCCGAGGCGACGCACCCTCTGCCTGTCCTCGTGGCTAACGCTTTGGACCAACGCCACAATCCTCGCGGCAAACCGCGTCTGGAACTCGGCCAAGCCCATGGTGTTTGATCGCGGGACTCTGTTTTGATTCTGAGCCAGCACTTCGACAAAGTGTGACCAGAGGCGGCCGAAGCCCGCGTCAGACGCAGCGTCCTGCAGCCTGGACAGCATGATGTTGATGCCGCCAATGTCGGTGCTGGTGCTGCCTCCCACGAGCATGAGCGAGTGCAAGAGTTCGTAGATGAAGGAGCGGTCTGCGCCGCGCTGCTCGAGCGAAGGATGCGAGACTGCGCAGTCGAAATCGATAACGACGACAGTGGGCAAGGGACTAGCTGAGCCCGCTGACATATCCAGCATGACGTTTCCCGTGAAGATGTCCTGGTGCGCGATATCAGCTACCATGTGCAGCCACTCGACGGTTTGCACTAGCTGCTGCGCGATGTGCAGGATGAGAGTTGCGTGGAGCGTGGGCGATATGACTGCATCGTTTTCGACATCGTTTGAGGAGGACCGAGCGGTATTTGTTATTGTGTGAGCGAGTTGCTCGAGATTGAAGCCGCAGACGGCGTTGGTCGTGAGCCAGAGTGATCCTTGGTTTGGTACGGGCGGGTCAAAGTCGAGCAGGGTGAGAATGTGTTTCTGCATGTCGGCATAACGGGCGTCAGCCATGATGTCCTTGATGTGCTGGAGCGCCTGGATCTCCTGGGCAATGTTGGCATGGCGCATCTCGTTTTCGGCCATCTTGACGGCGACGATGGTGGTGCGTTGGCTGGCGTCGTTGGAGGCGTGAGGCCTGCGGATGCAGAAGGTTACTTTGCCGCAAACACCATCGCCTGCTCTGCTTACCGCCACGTATTCCTCGTCAACGTCTTTGGGAGTATTCGTAGAGGCCATGTCAGAGTCGTTGCTAGGCTTTCCAGCGCTATGCTGATATTGTTGTTTGTGCTAGTAGCGGGGTTGCTTGGAGGCTATGTGCCACGATCCACTTGGGCAGCTGGTTGCGTAGTATCTCCTTCCAATGCGCGGGTCGGTATGCTGTGTGCTAAAGAGATGGAGGAGTTATATATACACATCGGAAACAATCGTCGTTAGTTTCCCATTGTTTGCCATGGCCTTGTAGAGGGAGAGATCCTAAGCCCAAGATTTCACCAGAACCAGAACGAAGCAGCGCAAATAAGACGTGACAACGACGTAGATCTAGACAAAGAACAGCTCACCATGCCCGAAACGTGGACAGGACGAGACGATAGGATCCTAGTAGACCAGAAGACGATCTTGTTCGAAATTCTACTGCGCATGCACCGTACAGTAACGCATGATCGTACTGTACAGTACAAAGAGTCAATCTATTGTAACTTTTATATCCGTCCCGCAAAAAATGCATTTGAGTGGTGTGGTGTCCGGTCCTTGCAGGACTGGTGGCAGTGACCTGCTGTCGCGTAGGTTGACAGCTGAACACTAAGCCTTTGGAATATTTGCGCTGAACGCTGAAGGCTCTCTGGATTTGTCTCGGCTTGCATGCGACTCTGTTCAAGGCAATGGCCGGCATGATGGTTGTTCCACGGGAAAGTGGTATCGATGCGCACGCATGTGAACGGCTCTGCATTCACCAAGGCGCCTTGTTGTAGTTGGACTGCTCCTCGAAACTCTGACATATTGGCAACCAGAACTCAAGTCGAGGCGGGATCAAACTCGATAGTATCCATGCCCCAAATTTCAATGTGCTGGACGCTTTCTCTGCTCACAATTTGGAACTTCCTTATTGGCCCAGCTCTTCTCGCATTCAGGCTATTGTCAGGGGCATCTGGCTGCGGCACTTTACTCTTGGGTGGAAAATAAACATCACCCAGCTTGTAAATGATGTCATGACCAAAGCCAACATATTTGATGTTTTTGTACTCTGGCCGCCATAGCTCCGTTGCCATTGCGAAAGCATGCATCTCAGGTTCCAACAGGTCAAACTTCTCGCACGCCTCGCCACCGCGACGCATCAAAAACCGCACAACCCACAACTTGGGCACAAGAGCAAATACTTGGCGTAGGGATTCGAGCGCTGGGACAGAGCTGGCGAAACCAAGCTGCTCCAGATTTGGACAAAGCTGACAGAGTCTGAATATAGCGTCGTCGGACAAGATCCAGCAATCCGAAAGGAGTAGATGGCGCACTGTGCGGTGGTTGGTTTGAATGGCAGCGAGATAATCGCTTGCAACACTGCGACAGAGTTGTTCATGTGCCAATTTCGGCGTTCCGTTGGCGCTACCCGATCCATTGCTTACGCTGGGCGTCATGTTTGATGGCGTTGAGGGCGTCGGGGTAGTACTGTTCGGTTTCGACGAAGCACCGGTCCCTCGCGTATTGCTTATAATGTATATGCGTTCCAGGCCGGTAAACTTGCCCAACCCAATAGCGCTGTCCTTGTCCGCATTATCGGAACGTATCATCTTCAGATTGCGCGAAGCAGGGAGACTGCCATGGACCTTCCACGAAGTGTCTGTGAAAACTGTGCTAGGATCAGAGCCCCCACAGTTGATGACCGTGGCCTCGATTTGAGAGTCAAAGTTGAGGATCTTGTGGAAATCGAGGCTGGACAAGCGAGTGTACAGGTTGTACATGTGAAGGCGCTTGATGGGCACTGAGTATCTGGCAGCTATGCAGCGGCCAAATATGGACAAGAGGTTGACTGATTCTTCGCCCTCGGCTCGCATACGCGGGCTCCAATGCAGCGTGAGATTCTCGAGTTTCTTGGAGCCCAGCATAAGCAAGGATATGTCGTCGGGATAACACAAGGGATCGAGATCGTAGACGACGAGCGTCTGGAGGTTGGGCAGCGGGGGTACAATGGTCGTCGGGCGTGGGGTGCGTCGGGCCTGGCAGCGAATGGTTAGAGACACGAGCGACGCCTTGCCCATGAGGCCCTCGTACACCGTCTGCAGCAGTGGTGTGTTCAACTGCCAGCTATGTATGTGTGTCAGCAATGCAATGCGTCTGAGTAGTGTGCCGCCATGCTACCTACGCAAAACTCTTGAGCTTATTCATGCGGTCGAGGGCGGCGCGCATGGCCACCTGCAGCACCATGCTGTTGTCTGGCACGCGGCCCTGCTTGTAGTCGTGGAGATCGTGCTCTCGCCAGTCGCCCAGGACACGGAACGTCTGGATATAGTTGCCAAAGCTGCGTGAGACGAGCGTATTGAGCCCCATGGCAAAGGGGCTGCCATTGCCGTAGCCTTCGGGCCTGCCGTCAATGTAGCGAATTTCCGAGTAGGCGTGGAGCGTGACATGCTCGTACAGGCGCGGCAGTGTCATGTAGTAGAAGAGGCGCGAAGTGCGCGTAACGCGCGCCAGGTCGCCAACATGGTCAAGCTTTCGTGGCAGTCAGCTGGGGCGTCGCGCGGTTGACGGGGCGAGTCCAACGGCGACATACGTGTGAGAGAATCAGGTGGATGAGGTGCAGCGGAAGCTCTTTGGCCTGCGCAGCATCGGGGTGGGAGCGCGCCGGTGACGTAAAGAAAGTGTGCATAGGCGTCGCGATGGAAACTCCCTCGGGCAGCTGGCCAGCAGGCGTGTTGGCGAATGCATGTCCAGAGGCGGGTGGGCGCTTGCGGGGCTCAGACTGGTCCGACATGAGGGTGGAGGGCGGCAACGACACATGTATCAACCCAGGCTGAAGCGGTGTTGTGTTATCATATTGCGCATTCAAGCGTGACGGTCCCGCAGCAGGTTCTGCCAGTCATGTCTGCTCACTGCTCCGACGGAATCTGGGGGGGTGAGCGGGCGTATCGCAGTCAGCATAACCCCCGAACGCCCGCGCTATCCGAAATTGGTCCGGCCACTGTGCAATATCACCCTACGATCTGCGCCTAGCATCCATCTCTTCGACGCCAGCCCAGCCCGCGTCGCCCTTCGCCATAGGCTACCCACCATATGTACGGACCATCCGAGCAACTCGCCAATCGAGTCCAGCCCCCGGCCTGGCCCGTCCATGACGTTGGCACCTCACCGGCAGTGTCTCGTGGCTGACGTCCTGTCGACAGTCTATGACTCTTGCTGTGTCTATGTGGTGAGTCGTTTGCCCGAACGCTACCGCCGCACACATCCGGACGAAGCACGCATGACCAGCACCGCCACATCAGACCAGCCAGCGCCTCCTCCATCACAGCCTGAGAAACCACGGTGCTTGGTCCCCATATCCGTCTCCCGGAAATCGAAAGGGAACCTCGACAGTGCCCGCGAACACCCCCATCGACGGTACGCCATCGTCATCCACGTCCGATCCGGCGAGCCTGTCGTGCGGCACTGGCACCACCACCCCGCACTCCCAGTTTCGAATATTGAGACTTCCCATGTTTCCGCGTTTTAGCACCTTCTGCCCACCCCATGCCGATTCAGACAGGTTGGCCGATCCAACATACACCCACGCAAACGGCTTTCCATCCTTTTTGCGCCCACGTGCGAACAGCAATTTGTTGTGCGATAGCATGCCTCGTCGCGACGACTCGTAATTGCGGAGGCACGTTTTTGGAAACGAGACTGCATTGTAGTATTGCCGCGCCAACGAGATAATGCCACCGCACTCGGGGCCTCCCTCGCTCTTCTCAACAGTTTCGTTCGTGGGAAAGTATATTCGTATGTGATTGCGAACATCGGGCACGGTCCGTGTGCTGGTCGTGAACGACTCCCCGCACGCTGCAAGGTAGATTCGCGACAAGAAAGCGTCGTTGACAGCGCCGAGCGAGGATGCTGCGTAGTCCAGCTCTATCCGCTCAACATTGTCAAGCTGTAGGTCCCGAATAGCTTTTGCGAGGCCTGGCAGACCCGTAGGGCGAGAAGGTAGCTCAGTCTTGTGCGAACCGCCACTGCAACGTGTTAGCCAAGAACAAGGTGTGTCATGTCGGCGATCGTACATCGAATGGATGAAAGCCAAGTGACTAGTCGCTGAGAAGTCAAACTTCAAAACGCCCTCCACCACCATCTCTGGGACTTTTTGCATCTCTAAGAAATACAACAGCTCTTGTCCGAAGCGCGTGAGGTCTTCCTTCTTGCCAACCGAACTGTCCCCTCTGCGTGGCAGATCGACCAAGAAAACAGAATTCTCCATGACACCACGCTGCCAGTCATTTGCAACTTCTCCCCAGTCGATATGCGTCATGTTTGCCGTTGGTATCACAACGCGCAGCTTCTCTCGGCCAAAGAGCAGCATAAACTTGCTGTGCATGCTGTGGATCATGCCGTCCATGGGTGGGAAATGGATCTTCAGATTCGGTACACCCGTCTCCTCCATCTCTCTCCTCCACCTTTGCTGCACGTCTTCGCCTTTTGCATTCATCACCCATATCTGCTTGACATTGATGGGGCTCAACTTCTTGAACAGCCAATCTGCATCCCACATAAAGGAGCTGATGACGGCGGTGTGGATTTTTGACGCCTGCAAAACTTCATCAATAGTGATGTCGTCGGTCCTGGGGTGTTTTGCGGCAAAAGTCCGCTTGATAGCTCCACTGGGAAACTGTAACAATGCTCCAGTAGACAATCCTGATCCTGGCATTGGTTTAGATGCTTGCTTCGAAGGTACGTCTGGAGACGGCTCGCGCTTCCGTTTTCCAAGCCTTGCTAGGCGTTCTTGTTCCATGGCTTTCCGATCCATGCCCATGGAGCTTGAGGCTGTCATGGCCGATGCAGTTATCGGTGTGCTTTTGGCAAGCGGCTGCGCAACGTCATTATTTGCACTTTCCTGCAAAGAGAGGGCAATGGCACGTTTGAGGTCTTCGTCGTTTTCATCGTCCGTGTCAGAAACAAGGTCGATCGGCTCGCTGGCGGGCGCTGTGGCGTTTTGCGGGGCGTCCATAACGTCCTGCTGAAGCGACATTGCCATTGCAAGCTTGAGGTCCTCATCATCTGACGACATGGAGTGTTGGGTGGCTGAATGGCTGTTGTTGATGTGTAGAGTGTAGGTGGTGGCATGAACTTAAATTGCCCGCGTTGGGCTGTCGCCACGCTTGCACGTCATCACGTGACTTGGTCTTGGCACTCAAACAAGGTAACACGTGCAGGAGCGTTACCGCAGACGCCCCTGTATGGAGAGCCAATCACATGATACCCTGCCATGGCAACTCGGGGGAGGTGGCTCCGAACCGATTACTCTCACCCAAGAACTATCAAGTACATACAGTATGAAATTTCTCGTCATCTCTTCTTACGCGCCACAGTCGCCTGTGCCGGCTGCAGCTTGCAGAACAACGCAAGGTAGCCCAGATCAGCTACAACCCAGGTAACCATCATCAGCACCGCGAGAGGATGCGTATAGTAAGTATGCGGTTCGCGCCACACCCACCAACAGTACCCGTAATTCACATTCAGCCCCAAAAGACTACCAAGGAACCTAGTCGTCCATATCCCGTACGAAGACCCGCGGGTGCTCTGCCTGGCCATGATCTGCCCCAGCGACGCGACACTGAGCACAACCTGCGCGGCGAGCACAGTCCAAAAGCTAAGTTCGTCTGCGTCAATGCCGTCAACCCCTCGATATGCCTTGCCGGCCTTGGGATTGATCGGGTTCTCGACAGAAAGCCACCAGGTGCTGAGAGCGTACAGCGCAGCACACCACCATGCCAGCATACCTGCGAAGATCTTGCCGATATTCCTACCGATGGCTGGTGCGTGTTTCCACTCGTTCGCACCGTACACAACTACGGTGTATACTAGTCCCAGGTCGATGACCATCCATATGATGAAGACTAGCTTGTGTTCAATCTCCATGGCGACGAACAGCCCGAAGACAATTTCCCAGGCAAAGTTGAAGGCGAGCGAGAACAGGGGCATTGCATAAGTGCCATCGCGTATGGACTGACGTGTCATGAGCACGTAGCAGATGGTGTAACCCAGTGCGCCGAGCCCCAGGAAGCCATCGCTGATGTAGACAATCGAGGGATCCACGTGCGCCGGTAGGGCCTCGAGTCGAGTCATTTCCAGGTTTTTATATCCAGGGTATAGAGATATGCAAGGCGCCTCAGGGTCACTCGAGGAATTTCGTATTACCCACGTCGTAAGCGCAATGTTTAGAAGTGTAGTCAAAATCAGCCCAAGCAGAGGGAGAAAACTTATAAGGCAACCACCACGGTATAAGCTGCTGTCAGCGTAAGCGACAAGGTGGGTAATAGTGTCAGCCAGCTGTCGTGCAGAAGTGATCCGATTCGACCTTCAGTGTATTTTGACTTATGTAAGCCGGATCAGAGCGGGCTGATTGTTCCTTGATTCTCGTCATATCATGCGAGCTCTACACGTCGGAATGGCGAGGAAAATATTTATATACACAAAAAAAGTGTTGGTGAATAAGACCTTAGGTTTTCTGCGCAACATACGTTCCTCATCCTCCATGGAGCGTGGAAACGAACATGATGTGATCTCTCTCTTGCACTTCATACTTGTCTTCTCCTTCCAGCTCCCAGTCTGCTTCGTTGATAAGTACCAGAATACCAGGTCGTCTGACCCAACACATTAGTAGACTGCCATGTGACAGAATATCCGCACTTACACAGTATCGTCCAATACAAACAACTCCTTGCGCGGATCCTTCATGACATTGCCACAGAGATGTCTCACGAGGTATGCAATATTTGCAGGCTGGCCCAATTCGTCTTTGGCCGGCAGCGAGAGATTGTACTTTTTCTGGTTGGCAAAGAGAATCTCGAGTCCTCCGCTGCGGGGAGTCAATACATGGCGGCACGCAAAGCATGCATTTGGGAATGTACCTGAACTCGACTGTTATCGAAAGGGTGTCATCGCTCGACATATCTGGGGGTGACTAATGTCCGAGCAAGACTTTCGAAATGCAAGACGCCAGTGTTGCAGAGATCGGATGCCGCGCATGCAGCGAAGAAGAGGGCGACGATGCGCCTTACCGGCACTAAGCGAGACTAGCGCCAAAGAAATCCTTACGCGCGATGACTAGATGCAGCAGTGCCCGCGACCACCACGACCAACAATGCATGTGTCTCCCGACTTCATAGCCACAGGCGGCAATCGGAACCCTGCTGCGGCCGACTGGGACGACGCTGGCTCGCAGCTCTTGGCTTTTGGCGCTGACAATAATATTGCGCTGTGGGATCCTCAAGTGAGTGGAACAGCGACCATGACGTACTTTTCACTCACCAGGACAGGATGAAGGACTACGCGGCGTACAGGCGATACTGAGTGGACATGCCAAAGCCGTGAATGCAGTCAAGTTTTTTCCTACTCTATCGCCAGATGTTTCGGTTTTGCTCAGTGGATCAGCCGACAACTGCATCCGCATATGGCGGGGCCAGAAAAGTGACCGCTTTGAATGTGTAAAAACGATATCTGAGCATCAACAGCCCGTCACGCGCATTGCAACACTATCGGGATCAGACACGTTTGCTACTGGTTCTTCGGACGGCACGGTCAAGATCTGGAGGCTCGTCCACGACTCCGGCTTTGCTTCAATCGACGCGGAACTCGTGCAGACTATCACGCTTTCACCGAAATACTTTCCATTGAATCTAGCACTCGCCACACTAGATGATACGTCGTCAGTGTTGGCGGTAGCAGGGACTCGTAGCACCATCCAGATATTCGTTTCTCGAGACACTCAATTCCAGCTCTCGGCTACGCTGACGGGACACGAAGGATGGATCCGCGCACTAGCATTCACCAGAGAAACATCGGATGCAAATAGCGACCTATTACTTGCGTCAGCAAGTCAAGACAAGTACATTCGTCTCTGGCGACTTCACCGCGGCGACGAACTCCCTGCAGCCAGCACCGCACTCAACGACCCGGCTTTGGGCGGCTTTGGAAAGTCACTGTCGAACAAAGCACACTGGATCAGCTCAGCCACGTCCAAGTACTCCATCACATTCGAGGCTCTGCTCCTGGGACACGAAGACTGGATCTACCAAGCATCATGGCGGCACCGCAACGGAAAGCTACAACTGCTATCCACCTCGGAAGACAACTCCCTGTCCATCTGGGAGTCTGATCCCACGTCCGGCGTATGGGTCTGCATCACGCGGCTGGGCGAAATCAGCGCGCAAAAGGGATCCACGAGTGCTACCGGCAGCGCAGGAGGTTTCTGGATCGGCCTGTGGTCGCCAGACGGCAATACCGTCGTGTCGCTAGGCCGCACAGGTAGCTGGAGGAAGTGGACGTTTTCCCCTGCCGACGACATGTGGACGCAGCAAGTCGCCGTCACCGGCCATGTGCGAGAAGTAAAGGGCGTGTCGTGGTCAAGAGACGGCTCGTATCTGCTCACCACGGGAACAGACCAGACATCGCGTCTATACTCGCAATGGAAGCGCGACGACAAGCCCCCCTCGTGGCACGAGTTCTCGCGCCCCCAGATCCACGGCTACGATCTTAACTGCATCGAAGCAATCTCCAACACGCAGTTTGTGTCCGGTGCAGACGAGAAGCTGCTCCGTGTTTTCGACGAACCCAAAGGCGTAGCGCACATGCTGCAGAACCTATGCAACATCGAGACGTCGACGACATCAGCGGACCTCCCCGACGCAGCCAACATCCCCGTTCTGGGCCTCTCGAACAAAGCCATCCAAGCCGTGGGCGACGACGAAGCCACTGAAAACGGCAACCAAGACGACAATGACGAGCGCGACGCCATTGACCCCTCGTCCGTCGTCCGCAAATCCACGCTCGACCTGCACCAGCCCCCTTTTGAAGACCACCTCGCGCGCCACCTGCTGTGGCCCGAAACGGAGAAACTGTACGGTCACGGCTACGAAATCTCCGCCTTGGCCGTCAGCCGCGACGCCCGCCTCGTGGCGACTGCGTGCCGCGCGAGCTCCATCGACCACGCTGTCATCCGCCTGTACGACACGACCGAGTGGCTGGAAGTCAAGCCCCCGCTGAAAGCGCACTCGCTGACCGTCACGGCGCTCGAGTTCTCGCCCGACGACTCGTTCCTGCTCAGCGTCGGCCGCGACCGCCAGTGGGTGCTGTGGGAGCGCCGCGACGACGACGCAGCGCTGTATGTGCAGAAACACGCCAATCCAAAGGGCCACTCCCGCATGATTCTCGATGCTGCGTGGACACCCCTGCAGCAGCCACACGCTACGTTTATGACTGCGGGCCGCGACAAGAGCGTCAAGATGTGGCAGATTACAGACACCGATGTGCAGCTCAAAGCCAGCGTGGCGGCCAACGCGCCCGTTACAGCTGTGGCGTGTAATCCAGTCATGGCGGACAAGAACATTACTTTTGCGTTTGGCACGGAAAACGGAGAGCTGGGCATCGGGAGCATGTCGTCTGAGGCGTTGGATCAGGTTAGCGTTGCCACGGTTCAGCCGCATTTGTTGCCTGCCAAGACGATTAACCAGGTTGTCTGGCGGCCCGGCAGAGAGGGCCAGGCGGCGCAGCAGATTGCGGTTGCGAGCGATGATACGTCGGTGCGGGTATTCAATGTGGAAGGGGTAGCGTCCTAGAAGACATGTCATTGGTGAGAAAGATGTAGCTGGGCATATATGCATTGAATAACAGCAGCTGGATGCCGACAAGACAAAAATAGATGTGCTCGATTAAACATTCATGGGGTATCTTGACTACGTAACTGTTCATTCCAAGTAGATGATTATTATTAGTTCAAATGGCATGTACGTCATGCTCATGCTGGTTTCTCAGGCATACCGTGGCCCGGAAGTCTTCTCAGTGCTTGGGCCAGCGACTCCAGGGGCGGGACCGACTGCGCCTTGCTGGGCGATGGGGTACTGTGCAGGGACCATGTACTGCTGCTGACCCAAGTACTGTGGTTGTTGCACGTGTGTGGGCTGCATGTATATAGGCTGCGTCGGGTAGTAGCCCTGGGTCGGAACGTGAAAGAACATGCCATGTGCGGCGCCAGGGTTCACACGAGCCTGTCCTGGAGGCGGTATAATAGCGCCGTTGCTGATCATAGTCTGCACAATTCCCGCGGCCATCTTCTCGGCGTCCCGGCTGACCTTGGTACGCCTGTAGCGATGTGTGTCGATGCAGGCCCAGATGAACAGCGCAAGGTGCAGGCCCAAGCCGAAGAACTGGCATACAACGCCCGTCAGGGCAACGCTAAGACGGTGCGGCTTCTCAGCCCAGAGCTTGTTGACAAAAGCGTCCTGCTCAGCACAGTCCTTGAAATGCACATCCGAGGTAAGACTCAATCTGCCCGTGCAATTGCGGGGAGTGGAGATGTAGCTTGTGTCTTGCTTCCAAACCCAGGTGTTGTTGGAAGCGAGTACATAGTCACCACCAGCGCTGGGGGTGTAATCGTAGTTCCAGCCATCAGGACCGCCATACAGGCCGAAATCATTCAGGTTCTGCAGGGACAAAAGCGCACAAAGTGCGGTAAGAATGAAGGCGAGCCAAAGCAATAGTTCCACAGACACGCGTACGCCGGGATGAACAGGGCGTTTCCGGGCAATGAAGACGGTGGCGCAGGCAGCGCACCAAGCAATCGAGACGGACCAGGTGACAAGACATGGCCAAGTAGTCCAGTACGAGCCGTAATCGTAGGAGTGGTCGTCAGGATCCGAGGTTATGAGCCAGCCAAAGCACCCAATGCCAATCACGCCAGTGATGACGAGAATAGTCATGAGACCAAATTTGAACTTCCAGTACCGATCGGCGGCATTGAGCCTGTCGTTCAAGGAGATAGATTCGTCCGTCGCGGTCGCCGGTGGGGCTGCAGCGGGAGGAGTATTCGGACCGGGCGTGGGAGCACCCGCTGCGATGGCGGAGCCTTGGGTCAGGGTGGGGTAGACATGTGCGTCGGCATTCGCGTTGGTTGCGCCTGTTGGCCTAGCAAGAGATCTAGCGGGCAGTGGCGGAGAGGGTGAGATTGTGTCGTGGGCATCCCCTGGCGCCTCAGTCGCTTGCGGCGCGGCCTGAGGCTGCGATGTAGACATGATTAAGTAAGTACTTATGTATTAATTAAGAAGGCAGTCGTGTAAAAAACAAAGCGAGTGTCGAGGTAGAGGAGCGAGAGGAAGCGCAAAAGAATTGCGCGATGGCAACGGTCGAGGACGAGGCATGGAAGAGAAAGGGAATTCTAGGCAGCGAGGGCGATAAACTTCTTGTGCCGTACTTAGCGCCACGTCCATAGCGCCTTGGTTGCCTGGATTCGAGCTGCACTGCGAAAGGGCTTAATTTAGATTGGGGTTGCGCCGGCGCAATGTTGACCCGGCAGCATCAATGCAGGAACGCCTCTTAGCATCGCCACATGATGAGCTTAATCCAGCGTGGTCTGTCTGGACTTGATCGCAGCAGTCATCTAGCTCATCTGTATAGGTCGTCTTCTCCTTCTCGACATGCCCGCCAGCCGACCACGAACTCGGCACAACTCGACTCCTCGCCATGGTGAACAGACAGCCAGCAGCATGAAGCCGCAATCTACAGGGCTTGGCCAGTCCAATTTCACAGCATAGCACCGTTTAGATTGAGCCTGGTGCCAGCCAACCAACACCCGTGGGTGCTGTCGACATTTGCTGTGCTGAAACACTCGCATGTACCTCCAAGGAGACATCACGTACCTGAGTTGCCTGTTTCATTGCAGCTTCGTCACATGGTCACCGCATTTGTTTGGTCGTTGCCTAGGTATCTTTTGATTGTGCCCTGCAGCCCTGCCCCAGATCCAAAGTCACGTAGCATACGCCCGCCTGATACGATGGATCTAACAAGCAACAACTACATCCTGGAATCTTGGATGCAGTGACAACGCGCCCGTAGACTCCACAAGCGGAATTGTGCAATTTGGACCCGCAATTGCAAATTACAGCTACTCCAACTTGCCTCTAACATTACACCAACTATTGCATGCTTGAGAGCTGGAGAACAATGAAATAATATAGCAGTCCAGCAACCGCGCCAGATGTAGGTCGTGTCTGAACACCCACCGCGAAGCTGATTTTAGTGCATCTGGTACTCGTCCAATGCCATGCCTTTGGCAATCTTCTTAATGAGTGCCTTTTTCATAAACTGCTCACGAGCAAGACTCCGTGTTTGCTAACGAGGTTAATCTCCTGTACAGAAACTCTGGCAACGGTCATACATACCTTGACAAACACGTCTGTGCTGATCCGCCCTCTGTCCAATGCTCTTCCTAGAACAAAGAGTGCGTCGGCAATGCCTTTTTCTTCTGCAGCTAGAGTGTACAGCTGCCCGCCAACTACAGTGGGCGCTACTAGCACATCATCGACATCTGGCGCCTTCCTTCTCCGAGCGTCTTCCATGACTCGATCTGCATCAACCATGGCACCTTTCAGCACTTGTTCATTCGACACAAGTGCAGCATCGAGTTGCTGCAATTCACCCAGCTCAGCCTGCAACCGAGCGTGTGCATTTTGAAGCGCCGCTTGTTGAGCGCGAAGCGGTGCTATGGCCGCCATATTGGAAGACACGATTTGTTGAATCTGTGATACAAGCGTCTGGCTGAGCGCTCGCAAAAGCGCATCTTTTTCGGGGTTCGGGGGGACTGGCGGTACCGGTAGAGGAACTTGATTCGCAGACTGAGAAGGTAACGTGACTTCAAGCGAGTCATCAAGAAGATCAACCGGGGGCTTTGGAGCTGGAGGGGCCTGGGGTGGTGATTGGTATTGCTGGCTTAGATGTGGCGTGTAGCCTGGAGGGTATTGCTGGTATTGCTGAGGCGGCGGTGGGGGTCGCCCAAACTGCTGCTGCTGCTGAGGCGTTTGAGTTGCTTGATATTGATTCATCTGCTGAAGAGGAGATGGCTGATGGGGACCTGAGCCTGGGAAGTGTGATGCCATTGGCTGGCCGTTGGGCGTCATGGGGCTTACAGGACTGCCCGAATTGAATGACTGCTGAGGGTAGCTGTGCGCTTGTACTTGTGGATGTTGTAGGCGTGGTCCCGACATCGCTGTGCCCATGTCAAAGCTACCCTGTGCATTTGGCATATACTGCTGCGCAGGTGGCTGCTGTTGCCATTCGGCCGGTCCATCGTATCTATTCCTCTGAGGTTGCTGTTGCTGCGGCGACTGAGCATGTTGTGGCGGGTGGGGCGGTAGAGGAGGTGGTTTGGAATATCGATCTTGTGGTGTCTGAGGCGTGGATCGTTGCTGTTCATAGGGCTTGGGCGGTTTTGGAGGAGGCGGTGGAGGTTGGCTCGGCAGTGCGGGAGAGGACGAAGAGGCAGGTATCTCCTGTGCTGCGCGTCGCCATTCAGCAGGTGGTGGAGGGACTGGCGGGGGAGCTTGCTGCGCCGGCGCTGTATACTGTGGCTGCTGTTGCCTCGATCGCACAGGCGGCTCTTTGGCGAAGACGCCTCGCAAGACTGCTAGGAAGTCGAAAAGAGTGGATTTCTACGCGATTGTCAGCCATCAGGCGTCTTGCGACCAGGGCCAGGGCCAGGGCCTGCAGGGCGCATGCAGTACTCACATCCCAATACTGTGCCCACTGTGCGAGATATGGATGGTAGACCCTGCCATCTGTGCTCACATGCTGTCCTGGACGCAATGCCATATCCTGAGACGGCGTGACATAGACCATGGGCGGCTCGCGGGGGTAGGCGTGAGGCACCCATATCGCTACCGGAAAGCCGTACGTCGCACCGCGAAATGTGACTGGCAACGTGCCTGTGATGAGCAGCAAGAGCGCCGACGTTCCATTTTCGTATGCTGCTCTCGTCAGTCTATGCGCGCACGACGCCGACGAGTGACGCACTATAGGGTTCGGTTCGGACGTTGAGCGAAGGGTAGTGGGCAAGGGTTTCCGCCGCGTCGTGATATGTGCGATTAACGTCCGAGTATTCCTAGTGTTGGTTGGTTAGCGCTGACGGCTGCGACGCGTCCAGAGGTGTTCACATTAACAAGGACGCTGTACAGCCAATTCAATACTTTCTCGCTGGCCATTGGGGTGTTGGTGGGGATCTGGGGAAGCTCCAAGACATCATCAACGCATTGCCCCTCGACACCTTGGCAACCAGCCCTTGGGACCCTGACCAGCCCATCCATCTATTGCCATGTCCGTCCAATCGACCAAGGTGCCGCTGCTCAACACGTGGGGTTATTCGTGGGACTCAAAGCAGTAGCTCAATCCATTTCATTCGTAGAGCTCTATCGTATAGTACAGTAAATAACAGTCATGTCTCTCGTGAACGCTTCAGCGAGCGTGGCCATAACTAGTGCTAAAAAGAATGTACGCCTCCATACTATACAAGTTCCGCCAGGGGTATCAAAATGACGCATGCCTTAGTGCTGACTCCATTCAATCGTGTTGAGGTCAACACCCTCTTGCACGAGCTCCCATAGCGGACTCAGCTCTCGCAGGAATGTCACCCGCTCCTTGACCGCCTTCAGCACGTAGTCAATCTCCGAGTCGGTTGTAAATCGCCCGATGCCGAAGCGGATACTGCTGTGTGCACTCTCGTCGCTGCTGCCAAGAGCACGCAGAACGTAGCTGGGTTCGAGCGATGCAGAAGTGCAGGCGCTGCCAGAAGAGAGAGCGATATCCTTCAACGCCATGAGAAGCGACTCTCCCTCGACGTAGGCGAACGATACGTTGACACAACCGGGATAATGTCGCTCACGGTCACCGTTGAGTGTGGTGTGCTCGAGGGAAAGTAGGCCTTCGAGGAGACGATTTGATAGCGCTGTGATACGCTTGGTATCGTACTGGACATAGTCAGCGTGATGCTCGAGCCGATCGAATCATGTAACCAAATCAAAAATAACAACTACTCATAACCCCTGCACATTTGTCAACATGGCGCGTTGGCGACCGAAGCCACCTAACGCTCTGAAAGCCATGCATGTATTGAGCAAATAATCATCGTGGTTCAAAATGGAAATAGAAGCAAGTGTACGTACCTCCATGTCCTCTTTGCAGAGCCGCGCAGCCTCTCCCATGCCAATGGCAAGAGGGGGTGCTAGTGTACCACTTCGCAGACCGCGCTCTTGGCCACCGCCGCTGATGATGGGTTCAAGCCTGACCCTCGGCCGTCGTCGCACATAGCATGCTCCGATGCCCTTTGGCCCGTATATCTTGTGCCCCGATATTGACATCAAGTCGATGTTCATCTTGTTGACGTCGATGGGAATCTTGCCAACGGCTTGTGCCGCGTCGGTGTGGAAAAATACCTTCTTCGATCGACAGAGCTTTCCAATCTCCTCAACCGGCTGGACGACACCAATCTCGTTGTTGACCGTCATGATGCTGACAATGGCCGTTTCTGGACGCATCGCCGCCTCGAGCTGGGCCATGTCAATGAGACCATTACTTCCTACTGGCAGGTAAGTGACGGAGAAGCCCTCATCTTGCAAATGTCTACAGCTGTCGAGCACGCACTTGTGCTCCGTCTGTGCTGTGATGATGTGCTTCTTCTTGCCCCCGCGTCCGAAGAATCGCGCTACGCCCTTTATACTCATGTTGTTACTCTCAGTGGCACCACTGGTGAAGATGATTTCTTTTGGATCCGCGCCAATCAGATCAGCAATGTTTGCGCGAGCTTCCTCTACGGCTTTGTCGGTCTCCCACCCATAGGCGTGGGTTCGCGAATGGGGGTTGCCGTACATGCCGGTCATGAATGGCAGCATCTTATCTACAACACGGGGATCCATGGGCGTGGTGGCCTGCATGTCTAAGTAGATGGGCCGCGAGCCCTGGTCCATGATGGTGGCCTCCTTGAGTATACCTGTACCAGTCAGTTTCGTGCGAGGCGGGGTCGAGGGGGGCAAAGGCCGTAGCTCACCAGCGGTGGGGCTCATCATGGCATCGGCGCCCATGCCCGTTGTCGGCATCTTCACATCACTCGGGCGTTCACCTGTCTTGTCTAGAAAGGCGCGCTGCTCCTGTTTGATGGCAGTGTCGACGTTGATCGTCGCCTGCGAAGTCTTGGACTCGCTGACATAGTGACGACGCCCAGCGGCTCCAGAGACGCGTGAAAAGGCAGCCGACGGGTAGCGGCGAGAGGCAATGCGCAGGGCCTGCCTCGCAATGGTGGGTGCAATGTGAGGCATGATGGGGGTGCAGTGGGGAGGAAGAGGGCGAGAGAGCTCGCCTCTTAGCTGGAGCTTTTCTGCCTGACTAAGCAGGCGAGCAGACGCGGCGGCACCAGCTGGCTCGTGCGCATCACCACTGCTCATGGGCACACTGGCTGCAGCGCCTGCATAACGGCCTGCATGCACATGTGCAGACGCTGGACGAGCAATTGGGACGCCTGCAGGCCGCAGCGCATTTGCTGTCCTGGGCCAGCACGGAGCGATTGCCCCTCTCCGGCGTATATCTGTGTATGTAAGCGCGTGCGTATGTGATCAGCTGGCTGCCTGCAAAATCACTCGGTGTTCCGGGTGATCCGAACCGAGCCGAGCACGGCGGCGCGCTGCATAGCCACAAACGTCATTGGGGCTTCCGCAGCCACGCAGAACACAGACGGCACACGCCCGCGGTCCTTGGTTGCTACCTGCTGCTGAACCCAACTGCCTGCAATCCTCCTCCATATTGCGACTGGACCTCCCCTTCTTGCGCATCTCTCCCCGCCAATCTTACCCCCGTACCGCCGCCATGAGCTGGAAAGGCCTGACCAAGAGCGTCACCCGGGTATGACGCACGCCTTGTTGCGCCTTTTGGGCACCATGTCTTGCTAACCCAGCGTTTCAGGCACCACAAACCTTCAAGCAAAAGTTCAACCTTGTATGCCCCCCAGCCACTACCTCTGCCACCTGTGCGCTCCATGTCTACAGCACGTCGCTAACCCAAGGCTGGACAGGGCGAGATCACCAAGGATGCCATTTACATCGATGCCGAGCGCCGCTTTCAGGAGCTGGAAAAGGAGACCAAGAAGCTGCACGAGGAGTCCAAGAAGTACGCGCCTGCGCCATTGCCCCCGTAGATAGTAGCGTCTTTGCTCACATGTCGCAGGTACTTTGAAGCCATAAATGGTGTGTCTGCCTCAGCTGTCGTCGCTGACTACCCCGCCTAACCACCTATTCAGGCATGCTCTCACATCAAATCGAGTTCTCAAAAGCCATCGCCGAAATCTACAAGCCTATTTCCGGCCGCATGTCCGACCCCGACTCGTTCCACGACGAAGGCAACGCCGCCGGTATAGAAGCTTGTGAAGAATACGAGTCTGTCGTCAAAGAGTTGCAAGAGACACTCAAGCCCGAACTTGAGATGATAGAAACCCGCGTGATCCGCCCAGCGGACGAGCTATTAGTAATCATCAAAGCCGTACGCAAGATTGCCGCTAAGCGCGATCACAAGCAACTCGACTACGATAGGCACCGTGCCGGGTACAAAAAGCTTGAAGAGAAGAAGGACAAGACATTGAAGGACGAGAAGGCCATGTACCGCGCAGAAAACGATCTCGAACAAGCGACACAGGATTTCAACTACTTCAATGACCTACTCAAGGAAGAACTGCCTAAGCTCTTCGCATTGGAGCGCGAGTTCATCAAGCCTCTGTTCCAATCCTTTTATTACATGCAGCTGAATGTGTTTTACACATTACACGAGCGCATGCAACGGCTTGACATTGGCTACTTTGACCTCACACTCGACATCGAGGCGGCGTACCAGAAGAAGCGTGGGGACATTCAGGAACAAGCAGAGAAGATATCAATTGTCAAGTTCAAAACCACTGGCGGAGCACGGGTGGCAGGGGCAAAGCCGGGCCAGTCCAAGTACGCAGCAAAGGCACTTGAAGCCAAGGCGGGCCGAAGTTCGATATCTGAAGACGCGGAAGCGCCGCCGCCATACAGCCCGGGACCTACAGCGGCCACTGGCGATATCAAGTCGCCCACGCTATCATCTGGTTCATGGGGATCTGCCGCCAAGGCTAAGGGTGCTGCACCGCCACCGCCAAAGCCGAAGCCTTCACGTCTGAGCGGAGTGCCCGCGGCTGAGACGGTCACAGCGTTATACGACTATGAGGCTCAAGCAGAAGGCGATTTGAGTTTCCTGACTGGCGATGTTATCGAGATTGTTTCGCGCACACAGAACGAGAATGAATGGTGGATTGGCAAGGTGCGGGGGAAGCAGGGACAATTTCCAGGTACGTTCCATTTGATACAATTTTAGGGAGACATATCTGACATTGTCACAGGAAACTATGTCAAACTGAACCACTAGGCGAGGCTCAGTCCACCTCCTCCTTTACGGCTGCGGGGCCACACTTGCTGAAGCATGTCATCTTTATCATGATTCGGGTTTCTCATTCACCACTTTTGCGTTAGACATGAGCGGTCTTTTGTACAGCACATTTCCAATTTTAGTATTCGGAGTAAGCCTGTATTATACTCTGAAACATATTCAACAGTCTCCATGTTCAGTGCTCCGCAGTTCAGATCGTCCGAAAGAAGCGGGGATTATGCCGCGACACCCCGCATGACGTTGGTCGGAGGTCTTCGAGACCCGCAGTCCGTACCCATCAGCTCGGGAAAACGTGTCCAGGGTAGTCTTAAACCATTACATACACATACCGCTCGCCCCTGCCCTTGCATTTGAACCATAACTTTATTCGTGCGTCCCTAGAATGACATAAGCCTTTTTCCATCGACCCACCAAGCATGCCATACGAATCCACCATAACATTTACCCTCGACACAATATGTCCTTGGTATCCCGACCCCTACCGTCACCCAGAAACACTTCCCCTTTCTGATATGTACAAATCCCAGGACGTACCTCGGCTTCGTCCGCCTCAACAAAGCACTCGACGCCTTTCGTGCAGCCAGGCCAGACTCGCCCGCCACCTTTACTCTCAAACTAGCACCGTACCAGCTGTACCCTGATTTCGCCCAAGATGGCATCGACAAGTACGAATGGTACCGGGACAAAAAGTACAACGGCAGCGACGAGCGCATGAACATGTACATGAATGTCATGGGAGACCTGGGCAAAGCCGACGGCATTGAATTCGACTTTGCAGGCGGTCCCGTCGCAAATACACTACACGCCCATCGCGTGCTGTACTGGCTACAGACTCACAGGGACCCGGGTGCTGCGCTCAAAGCAGTACAGAATCTGTATCAACAGTACTTTGAAGCAAGGGCCCATCCGTCCAGCCCAGACACGCTGTGCAAGGCGTGTGTGGCGGCAGGGCTGAGTAAAGACGAGGCGGAGAAGTTGGTGGTGGATGAGCACGAGGGGCTGGCAGATGTCAAGGTGGCGATTAAGGAGCAGGTCGGGAATGCGGTGGATAGTGTCCCGTATGTGGTGTTTGAGGGGAGAAAGCGGGATTTTACGCTTGTGGGGGCAAAGAGCGTGGAAGAGTATGTGAAGATTTTGGCGCAGGTGGACAAGGAGTGTGTGTGAGGGGAGTAAGCTTGTGGTTAATTCATGGGTGGTTCTGTAATTCTGTTTTCTTTCTTTCGGAAGGTGTTGTTAATTTGGATATCGGATGGTTGTAGTTTGGGTTTGAGCAAAGACACTGTTCGAGTCAAGTTCATGATGGAGCTACATACATAAGTAGTGTAATTCGCAGTTTGCCATGGCCGAGCACTCCCCAGGCTGACCGGACCTGGGGAATACGAACAAGCTCTAGTTGCTTAACCGGCATGGCCTCTGTAGATAGAGCGCACCTTGGAAAATAAGCACCCAGGTAACGCGCTACTGCTGTGAGTCCTAGGCATAGTCTACTCTTTTGCCCAGCGGGCAGTTTCAAGTAGGGACGCTGAACATGATATATTATAGCGCATCACATCATGGCCGAGTGAGTATTCGTACCATGTTGACTGAACTCGTACTTTTGCTCCTCAACATTGCGTGGGTGAAAGACGCCTTGTGGAAGCCTAGCCAATGACATTTGCATAGCGCGTGCCTTTATGCCGTGGCATGCACTTCGCCCCCCCTGCACAGATACCTTTCGGGTAAGTACCTGCTGGGATATATCCCGGTCTCTGTCAGTTCAGCCTCACGCTCCTAGAAGAACATTATGGGTTCAGAAAAGCTAGACAAGTCCTACATTCTTTTCTTTTACAGTTTTTTTTTCTTTCGTACAGCCTAGTATCGAGTAACTGGGCCAAGCCACAACCCGGCCATCGTTGTCTCATTGGGCATCCTGAAGTCTCCCACTATATCGATGCGATACAAATCTATCATATCATCCAAGATCCAGTTATCCCGCGTACTGTACGTCTTTCCGTACATCAAGTCACCAGTTATTCCATCGATACTCGCGCTTGCAACCCTCAGCCTTGCACAATACCAGCCCACACGAGGCTGCCCCCCGGACAAAAACCCTCCCTTGAGCTCTGGCGGCGGCGATGAGCCCACAATCAGTCTCCGATTCCCCGCCAATTAGTGGCTTCTATGGCCCTGGTGCCTGGGCTGCCTGGATCGTGACCCTGGTCGCGTCGTGGATACCTATCATTCGCAACAATTACGACAACAACCTCCACATCATCGCATACTCGCTGTACACGAACTGGGCAGCCATTGATACCATACGATTATACTACCGGTATCAACATGACGAGGCTGACGGCACCGCGCGAGACGGCGCTCTAGCGCAAAGTATTGCTGCCGGCCAAGCGGTTGTATTCCTCGGTTTCACACACGCTTGTATCCAGCACGACGTGTACTTCTTCCAACAGCTCTGTCTCCCTCCCCAGGCTCGACGAAAGCCTAGAATAAGCATGTTGATTGTTTTCCTGGGACTACTACTACCACTATCTGCGCTCTCTTATACTTTTTTCTCCATCGAACAGGCATCGCTCATCTTTCTGCCCGTGGTGCTTCTCTCCCGTTTTTGTTTGTTCGCGTGGACTCCGGCGCGACCAACGCACACGCATTTCCCTCCTTTTCCATATCGTTTTGGCTTGGCAATACAAGTTCCGCTGTGTTTTGTAGGTACCTTGCCGTTTCACGTTAGATTTTTACACCGTCTAAGCCCAAGCAAAAGTACTGCTGAGCGCTGGGAAATCTTTTTTGACCGCTGTACATATGCCCCCTGTGCACCACAGTCACTCAAGGAGGGAGACCAAGCCTTTGCATTGTTTTTCGCTCTATTTTTCTTCGTCTATGAATTCGATTGGGATTTTATCCGTCTTTCACGTGGGATCGGTATGTTTCTGTATGGCTTGTATCTGCGTATTATCCGTATTTTCCATACACGTCCTTCATCATCACCGCAAGGAATTCTCGCTGGGCCGTAGATGTAGGTCACGAAAATCTGCGGTTATCTCTCAGCAAGCTCTGGAAAAAGCGATGAATCAGTACCTGTAGCGTTTGGTGGAAGTGACAACAAAAAGGACGTGAACGGATCTCGTGTTGTCCAACAGCCATTATACATATATATGTTCAACAACCGATATTCTGCAAGTGATCTTTAGCTCTTCTACAACGAAAATCCAACATATAAACGAAAAAAACTATTCGAAATCCTTGCTTTGTGTCGTCACTACCATCCCAAGTACATCTCATCCATTTCAATCGTTAAAAAAATACCCATCGCACGAGAATCAGTCCGGAAACAGGCAATAGGATATCACTTTTCTTCGCCAATTTCAGCCACGCACATGGCTTTTCCACTCAGACTACTGCAACAGCGCTACTTACTACACTCGAATCTACTGCAGGATAAATATAACACTATTCAACTACCAACAGGCTACTTGCTACAAGCCCATCCGCCACATTACCGGCCGCGCCACTGTCTCCACATAACCCGTAACCACAAAGCCCCTTCAAACAAACTATCGCATACGAAAACGAAAGAAAACAGATTCAAGAAAGAGAACAAGTAAAAAGAATCATAAACCCGTACTTCCTCTCCCTCTTTCCCAGCAAACGCTTCTACCATAGTTAAAATAATAATAATCTACATACTTCCTGCACCGCCGTTGAAATCACCAGAAAGCACTCAAGTCCCATATCGTGAGTGTGTGAGTGTGGAGAGTGGATTGTAGCAACTAGGTGCGTAGAGTGCCAGGCTGTTTTGATGATACCGGATTCGGTTCAAAAAAAGAGGGGGTAAATTAGATAGTTGTTGGACTGAGTGTGGTCCAGATTGTATGCGGAAAGGACTAAATGTGTGTGTTGGGATAGGATAGGGTAATATAGGATAGGATATTTACAATGGGCAGCGAGCGGTCTTCACTAGACTCGGTTCGTGTCTTTGGTATTGTGATAGGATGGGATGGGATGAGATGAGATGGCATGAGATGCAACAATCGAAAAAGAATTAATAACCATATACATAGTATAAATACAAGGTGGTGTGTGGGCATTGCACTTGAGCAGCCGCCCATCGCATTTTCAATTCCCGTGTTTTCACTCCGTAATTATCTCTCTGTACCCGTTTCCGCTAGACTAAAAAAGAAAAGAAAAGAAAAGAAAAGAAAAAAAAAGAAAAAAAAAGAAAAAAAAAGAAAACGCAACCACAAGTCTAAATATAAAATTGCAAACTCAATGTCTAAACCTCTTCTTAAATACCCGATTGTCTATTTTGCTGCCAGAGTCTCAGCCTCGCCACCACTTCTTCTTCGCCGCATGCGGAACCAGCCGCCCATGCCCGTGCGCGGCGGCACATGGTCGTCTACCTCGTTCATGCCGACAACAACGAGTTGGTCATTACTGCGCTTGACGATCCAATCGACGGTTAGATCACTGGTGCGCGGGCCTTCCTGCGGCAGGCCCTTGAAGAGGCCGTCGGACGGCGGGGAGTGGTAGCCGAGGACGAAGAGGACGAGGGGCTCGCAGAGGTCGGTGATGAGGCGGATGCGCAGGACAAAGGAGAGGTAGAAGAGGATGAAGAGGTTGATGAGGAGGGTGAGGGCGAGGACGACGAGGAAGGCCTGGAAAGGGGTAAGTCTGGGTAAGAGAAGAGAGGTGGCCATGTGGCGCTCGTACCTTTTGATATGGATTCTCGCCGCCAGACATGTACTGTGCTACGCGCACCGAGGCGTTAAAGTATTGCAGGGTTGGCTGGTTGCCGTCTGTGGCTTTGGAGTCCCAGTTGGGCTTGAATGGGAAGTTCTGCGTCAGATCAAGAACGGTGCACGTCATCATGCTTAGCAGTGCTTCTGCGGGACTCGGCAGAGTTTTGTTGAGCGACGGTTCTGTCAGTTGGAGTTGTGTTAATATGCGTGCTGTTGATGCATCACCGTCAAAGACACCGTTGTTCAAGCTCAAGGAATTGAGCAGGTTGAAGCCTAGTTCGCGCCAACTGACGAGTCCTGGCCTGTCATCTTTGGAATGAAGAGGCGGGATGGTGGAATCGTCGCCGTTGCTAGATTTGTTGGCGTCACTGCAAGCAGCGTCAAGGCTCTGTCCACTCGAGGAAGCATTGTAGCGCGTAGTGCAAGACGTTGTGATGCCAGCTTTCATGGAACAGAGGAAATAATCCGAGGTGGTGTTATCAGGAGCCTTGCCAAGAAGATAGACTTCTGGTCGGTCACCAACCGTATACGGGACTTGTGTGTGATTGGCAATCTGACTAGTCAGCGCAAGCTTTGGCCTCGAAACAAAAAGATACGCACTGTATTTCCTGCCTTTGGATACTTGAGAAATACTGCACCCTGTCAGTACGCGTCACGTCTCGGCCAAGTCGGACTTGCTGGGTCTAGCACGGGAATGATCTTCAGTCTCATCTTTCCACCCGAAAATGTCGTCAAGAACGGTTTTGTTGTTGGTATTGGTGCCTGGGGGGAAGCCCATCACTGGCCACCAATTCACTGCTTTTGACACTTCATCCATCCGAAGTGCGTTGGGCCAGTTTGTATAGATGATGGGAGCCAGCTCTTCTTCCTTCACATTGGCACACATGGCGTTGAGTGCGAAGCTTGCGACTGACGCATGAATCGAATACGAGCCGCCCTCATGGAGATCCTACACAGGTTAGTAGAATAGGAGGCTTGCTATTGTTCACAAACCTCTGGTTGCAGAATATCGTTCTTGGAGAATCGAGCAGCTGCCGGGACTCCTCGGTGAGGCACTGCTATGGTAATATTATTGACTGGAAATTGTTAGTTATGTCGCATTTGGAAGCGGTAACAATAAGTTGTAGTTTGGATTCGAAACGGATGAAGCAGAAATGCGTACTTATTCTTCCAGCCTTTTCCGAGGCCGTTTTCACATCGTGGCTGTCCAGCCAGGCCGTCGTTACAGTGATATTGTTATCCAGCGCGGCAAAGATAGGCAGACGCTGATCCAGGCGATCAGACATCCAGGGCGGGTTATCTTGGGCTTTATTATCGTCCCAAGAAGCCATGTATCGTACAAAGTTGCGACCGCATAAAGATGACCATTTGACAGCAAGACATGTACTGCCGCCCCAGGCTTGGTCGCCCACGTCGGGCCATGCTTTTAGGCATGTGTCTTTGGCTTGGAGTGTGCTGGAAAAGTCGCCCGCTACCTCGCCCGCGAGGGTTTGTTTTTCCCATGGCGGTAAGCGCAACTGCGGTTGTACTGAACACTGTCAGCGATGGAAACGGAGATATTCATATACGGCTGGTGGCTGACTGACCAAGTGCACCGGCGGCAGTCGTATACAATAGCGACAAGATGGCAGTGACCAAAGAAAATACCCCTAGCACACTGAAGCCAGCAAACTTGACGCTCCGCCACTGACTAAGAAGTGTTCCTGGCTGGCTTTCCGAATGTTAGTCCATCTCTCCAGGGAAGACAGGGGAGAAGGAGGGCCCACAGAATCCATGACCGCATTGATATAGTCGCCAAACTTACACCTTTCTGGTGAATGGCGCGGCGCGACAACACCTGACCTATGAAGGCCAGGAAAACCATGACAAAGGACAACTCGACTGTTTTGGCGATGAAGGCTGTAAAGAGGGCGGCAGACGAAGGCGAAAAGCGGCCACGGGCCGATACAACATGTCCATATTTTGGCTGGATTAATGCAACAATGAAGAACAAGGCTGAGAGTAACGTTGAATATATAGAGGCGAAGAGGAGGCCGATTGAAGACTTGCTTCGCTGAGGCTTGAGTAGTCCTTTGGTGTATACGAGCGGCCGCATGCTACTCGAACTATCTTGGAAACAGTTAAGCATGTGCAATGGACGATTAGACTTTAATGGGACTCGGCCGCTTACTTTTGGATCCATAGAAAGTGTGGATACTGCGCGTGTCCTGGATAGGGCTAAGGAAGGGGTTTTCTTCGCGCGTACTCGCCATGATGCGAATTAGAAATGGCGACAATGGCCATGTAAGGAAAAGGGTATATACAAAGTCAGCTGTAAGCGTATATCAGAAAAGGATGTCAGCATGCAAAAGAGTGGCGCAGGTCGCAGAGGCTATGCCTGCGAGATGGAGTAAATTGAGGTTCTTTTAGCGTTGTTTCAGTTCAGCGGTGGCCACTGCGCCCCACGTCGGTGCCCAAAGTGCAAGGGGTCTCACGTCATGCACGTGGTGTGGAAAGCGAGAGGTTGATAATCATTGGTCGATCTGCAATTACTTGTGGTCTAGCATGTGCTTAAATTTTTCAATCTGTATTAAATTAGCAAATGGAATGGGGGCAAATTTGCAAATTTGCATGGGCTCGCTCACCTTGGTACTAAGATATTTCTCCACTTCCTCACTCTTGATCCCCTTGATGCCGCCCGTCTTCCACGCCAGCGGCACCATGGCCACGCGCTCTCTGACTACAACCTCGCGGTTTGGCCCCTCAACAGCTCTTACTTTGTCGGGATTGTTGGTCAGAAGTCTGATTCCCCTGTCCCCGTCTAAGCCCAGGTCTATCAGCATAGCTGTGGCTAGACCATAACTGCGTGCATCTGCAGGATGCCTTAACATGATGTTGGCTTCGTATGTGTCGTTGCCCAAATCTTGCAGGTTGTACGCCTTGAGTTTCTCGCCCAGACCGATTCCGCGGCCTTCCTGGCGCAAATAGATAATGGCACCGCCCGAGGGCGACAGCGAGGGGTCGGCCATGAGGCGTGCGGCTTCGTCGAGTTGCTCGCCGCAATCGCAGCGGGCGGACCATACCGTCTCACCAGTGTAGCACTCGGAATGTATGCGCACGAGCGGAAGGTCTGACGAGGACACGGGCTCCAGGTGGCCGTTTTCCGAGGACGATGCCGAGGCTGGAGACAAGTGTCCGGTGTTCTTGTCGACGTGCGCCGGCTTTGTGGCAATGCCCTCTGCGCGCTTGAGCTGCTCAACGCGCGAGCTGGTTCTCCCAGGATACAGGCGCCCGACGTATGCGCCTCTGGTCATGCGGTCCAATTCCGTCTCGCCGGGCCGTTCCGCGTCGAGGGAGCGCGAGCGTATTTGGTTGCCGAAGACGATTGCGAGATGCTCCTTTGTGTCGACGTTGTTTCTGTACACATGCAGCCACATCTCATGCCCCGTCGTCGTGGGTATCCGCGCGCGCACCTCGCACTCGACGTGGGGGAGCCTCGGCAGCAGATCAGGCTGTGGGGAATCGGTGCGCAGTGAGGTGTCGACGGGGATGGAGCGGGGCGGCCGGGGATGCGAGGGGGTAGAGACTCCTGGCGTCGCTGGAGGCGTAAAGGCGGGGGATATTATCGAGGCGGGCGGAGCGTGGTGCTCGCCGTCTGCGCCATGGTCCAGCGTCTCTCCATGCGGCGCTGGCTGGAAGTCGAAGTCATCCCGGCCGGCGCTCGCAATCTGCGGCGAGAAATGGGGCGGAAATGTCGTCATGGTGGCGGCGATTCAAGCAAAGGGGGGCGAAGAGTGACTGTGTAGAGGGAGTGTCAGTGGGTGCGGGGGCGCATGGCAGAAGAGTGAATTGAGAGAGAGAAGGCGACGGAAGCGGTGCGGCGGGTGGGGGGGTTGCAGTTGTGCCTGGATGACATAGCCGAAACCGCAGCTCGTCGGAAGTCGAGCATTAGGAACCGCGCCGCCGACGTCCAGCCGCGGCTAAAACTATCTACGCAAAACCAACGGGCACATGGCTCGGTAAGCAATTACTCGCCATTCCGCCAGCATTCCGCCTAGGCCCTACACGACGCTGACGTCCGGCATGCCGTTGCAATTCCTCCGCCGGGGTCATCTGGGCAAACTCGCTGTCGGTAGTCCTGCTTCCTACCATGTGCACGTAGTATATCCACCAGCCCAGCCCAGCCCAGCCCAGCCCAGCCCGCCACCTGATGCTGTCCTGTCTGTCGAACCCGTGCTGTAAATCTCAATCTCCCACGCATTGTCTCACCATTCTTAGTCCACTCTGCGCTCCCTCCCCCAAACCTCATCTGCGTTCTTCTTGCCCTTGGTCTCCGGCACATACCACGAGACGAACGCAAAGAAAAATGCCGACAGCGCGGCAAAGATGAAGTAGACTTTGCCGTGCAGTTTCGCGCTAGCCAGGGGAAAGAATTGTGCCACGATGAAGGTGGCGATCCAGTTGGCTCCCAGCGCAATACTCTGCGTCGCATCAACCGCGTCGGGCCCTACAAGCTCACTGGCCAGGATGAAGGGCACCGGTCCAAGGCCAACCGCAAAGCCCGAGACGAAGAGTAGCACTGCGACGGCTGACATGACGGGGATCGACCTGATGATGCCGACTGCAAGCACGAGCGAGCTCGTGCCCATGATGGCGAGGGAGCTGAGAAGACACACCTTGCGACCTAGCTTATCAGCGAGCGGTGCACAGCTGGCCGTGACGATAATGTTCAGCGCCGAGACGGCAAGATTGAGCAGCGCCGAGTTGGACTCGAGCAGGCCTGCCAGCAGCGATACTCCATACATGACGATGCTGTTGATGCCACTGAACTGCTGGGCGAGCATGACCATGATAACGGCAATGGCAGCTTTTTGGTAGTCGGCGTGGCGGAAGACTTGCATGATGCTCAGAGTCTGTTCCTTGCCTGATGGTTTGGCCGTGGCATCGGCGGATGCATCCGGGTGGCTCAACAGTGTCTGCTCCTCCTCTGTGGTGCTGTTAGTGCATGTTGGACACATGGCCGCGTCGCAAGTGACTGACCATTTACCCCGGCTAGATTCGGCACTCCCCAGTCCTTCATTTCGTCTTCAATGTCGGCATGCTCGCCGCGGATCTTGCGCAGTGTCTTCTTCGCAAGAGACACATTGCCCTGCTCCGCGATGTACTTGGGGCTCTCGACCGAAACCAGCAGCCCCACGCCCTGCACAGCGCCGATGATGCCTCCAATGGCCAGGATGAGGCGCCAGTATGAATCGTGGCTCAAGAAGTATCCCAACAGCTGTGTGATGAGAATGCCGACGTTGCAGCCAATCTGCGTGAATGCGCCAAAGAAGCCCTTTTCGGCCGGGGGAGCAATCTCCGAGATGTAGAGAGGCACGATGACGACGGCAGCGCCCGCGCCCACTCCGGACAGCAGCCGTCCAAATGCCATGACGGCGATGTTTGGGCTCAGGGCCTCGAAGACCGGGCCGAGGGCGAAGAATATGGTAGACATCTGCATAGCCCGGAGGCGGCCGTAGTTTCCAGCCAGCGGGCCAGCCGAAAGGGCGCCTATGAGACCTCCGAGCGTGTATAGCGATCCCACGACGCCCCATTCCGTGGGGCTCATCTCGATGCACTGCGGGAGGGTGGGGCCCGCGACGGCCGCGGTGATGGACTTTTTCTTGCAACGGATGACGTCTTCGGGGGCATTGAGCTCAGACTGCGAGGGTTAGTGGCGGGCTTTTGGGGAGGCGGTGCTTTGGCATGTGAGACGGACCAAGTGGAAGCCGAAGAGGAGCGGGCCAAGCGTGGCGATGGAGAGGATGTAGACGAAATAGCCGGTAAGGCTGCTGAACCACGAGCGGGGATCCATGGCAAGCAGGCTGGTCGTGGTGATGCTGGTGGCGGTGGTGGTGGTGGTAGTAGGAGGAGCAGGCGGATGAGGAGGACGAGGGACGTGTTGTGTCAGACGGCCGCGCCCGCGTTTGGCCCAGCCATGGACGAGGAGGTCACATGCTCACGCGGTCACGGTGACGATGCGTCGCAAAGGAATATGGCGGGTTTTTGCTTTGCTTTGCTTTGCTTTGCTTTGCTTTGGATGGCTGGCTGGGATGGTGCCGAAGCGAGGAGGATATGGGATGGCGATTGGTTGTTTGGGGTTGTTGCAGTTGTGGGGGTCCGCGGCGATGAGGCTCTGCGGGGACGGCCTGGCCATGGTGAAAGCAGCCGTGGCAGTGGCAGTGGTAGTAACAGCAATCCACACATACATGGACATAGACACGCGGAGAGAAAACACGTGACGACTGCCCCCTCGTACTGCCAGCCATCGCCTATTCGTATTATTGTTGCAGTACTATACTTCAACAGCGCTCTCCAGCGATTCGCAGGCGGCCCTCCGCAGGCCGGATAAGAGCTGTTCCAGGCCATGGGCGCGTGCCGGAGAAGAGCCGGCGGCGCGTCGTCCCCATGAGCCGGCGGCGGAGGCGTGGAGACATGGGCTAGTTGAGACGAGACGAGACGCAGGCGCAAGATGCAGATGCAGACGCAGATGCAGACGCAGACGATGAGCTCAAGCCAGCTGCTCTCCACCTCCGCCTCCCCCCGCCTGTGTCTGGGTCGCCCGCCTCAGTCGACGCCGCCGCCGCCGCCGCCGTCGCCCAAGCCTCGCCCTCCTCCATTAGTGGTACGTGTGCCAGTCTCTCCAGCCCCTCGTAAAAAATAATACCCACCGCCGCACTTCCACATCGCCATCCCCCTTCCATCCAGGCCTGCGCGCCATCGCTCCCCTCCCCCCCCCCGTTGCTTGCAGCCTGACCACGAGCACCCCCTTTACTATTACATCCCCCCCCCTTGGCCGCTCTTCACCGACCTCCCTCTGCACCCTGGCATCTCGTCTCACATCACATCGCTTGGCCTGACTTGCCTTGACTCTGGCCCAGCACTAAAATCTGAATCCGCCTCTGCCTCTGCCTCGGACACAGGCCCCGGCGATTCACCAGATGCCATGTTCGCCGGCTACAACAACAAGAAGCGCGTGACGGAACGCTACAAAATCGTCGGCTTCATCAGCAGCGGCACGTATGGCCGTGTCTACAAGGCCGAGGGCCGCAATGGACGCACCGGCGAGTTTGCCATCAAGAAGTGAGCCCTCGCCCGCCCGGCCATGTGCTGCGCTAACCAGCCCAGGTTCAAGCCCGATAAGGAAGGTGAGCTGCAGTACTCGGGCATCTCGCAGTCGGCCATCCGCGAGATGGCGCTGTGCACCGAGCTGGCCCATCCCAATGTCGTCCACACGGTCGAGATTATCCTCGAGGACAAGTGCATCTACATCGTCTTTGAGTATGCCGAGCACGACCTCCTGCAGATCATCCACCACCACAACCAGCCCCAGCGCCAAGCCATCCCCGCCCGCACCATCAAGTCCATCCTCTACCAGCTGCTGCAGGGCCTCGTCTACCTGCACCGCAACTGGGTCATGCACCGTGATCTCAAGCCCGCCAACATCATGGTCACCAGCGCCGGCAAGGTCAAGATTGGCGACCTGGGCCTCGCCCGCTTGTTCTACAAGCCACTGCAGTCCCTCTTCTCGGGCGACAAGGTCGTCGTCACCATATGGTACCGCGCCCCCGAGCTGCTCCTGGGCAGCCGCCACTACACGCCTGCCGTCGATCTGTGGGCCGTAGGATGCATCTTTGCCGAGCTGCTCTCGTTGCGTCCCATCTTCAAGGGAGAAGAGGCCAAGATGGACAGCAAGAAGACGGTCCCCTTTCAGCGTAACCAGATGCAAAAGATTGTCGAGATCATGGGGATGCCTACCAAGGACCGCTGGCCGCTGCTAACGGCAATGCCCGAGCATCCTCAGCTCGCCTCGCTTCTCTCAGGCAACGCCGCACGCTTCCCGCGTCCCCAAAGCGGCGATGGCCTGGAGCGTTGGTACCACCAGACGCTCAACAACAACCAGTACCCAATCGGCTCTGGGCCCGACACCCCCGGTCCAGAAGGGCTCTCGCTGCTCAAGCAACTCCTCGAGTACGACCCCCAGAAACGCCTGACGGCAGAAAAGGCGCTATTGCACCCCTACTTTACCGTTCACGGCAAGCCGGCCGAGAGCTGCTTCGAAGACTCCAAGGTCAAGTATCCCGTGCGGAGGGTTAGCCAGGAAGACAACGACATCCGCACATCAAGCCTGCCTGGCACCAAGCGAAGCGGCCTGCCAGACGACTCCATCATTGGACGGCCTGCAAAGCGACTCAAGGAAGGGTGAAGAGACTCGGCAAGGAAGATTCGGTGGCCCGCGTGATTGTACGGGCCGCGGATGCAAGTGCCCGTGTGTACCTAGGTTTGCATTCTTGGGCAAATTTATCCCGGTTGTCGGCATGGTAACACGATAGCAGGCCGATGCGTGCGGTCTTGGCAACATGGGCGATTCTGTGCGAGTCGCAACTTTACACGCGCAATGGGAACATGTGAGAGTGCCTCTGCCCCGAGTTCCACCAGAGCGGATTGGCAAAGTGGAAAGAGTATCAAGGATAAGAAACATGGCATGATGGCGCGTTGGATGCAGCCCGATATGGATCCAGCTGTCAAAGAGCAAGCCACCAGTCACAAGTGCGACGTTTCCCGACCACGACAGACGCCTTTTGGAAGAATTCGAGTTGGTGGCATTGACGGGAGATGGCGTCGGTCACGTCGCGGGCCTTGTGATGGACTTGGAGTGTCGCTCTGTGTTGCTGCTGATGCTGCTACTGCTGCGGGGTGTTTGAGCTGTTTGGAGCGCCACTCTAGGGGCGTGTGTGTCGTGGATAGTTGACATGTCTATGGAAAGGGCTGGCCTAGCTGTTCGGGGCATTACAGCTAGTGTCCAAGGTTGCACGGGGCGAGGTGGGGGAGGGGTATTTGGTGGTAGTGGTAGATGGGCAGTGTGGAGGCATGGAGCTCGTGGGCAGTGTTTGGTGATAGGCGCGGGCAAGAGGCCATGGGGAAATTGCAAGAGTGGGCTCGGACGGGTTGTGTAGCCAGCAGGCGTCTACAGAGGCCAATGCAACGGTCCCACGACGTGTCGACGCCGGCTGACCTGGCACGAATGCCGTGGGCAAACGCTCTGCTCTGCTGTGTGTATGCGCTCCGGCTTCACTTCACGCTGACTTCACGCTGACTGCCTTCGTTTGCGGCTAGCGCCAGTGTTTGTTTGCGGGGCTGCCTTGTGTGAAGGCAGGCGCGCGCCGTCAACACCACGCACGCTCTTGTCGGCCAGGCTCGTCTGCATAAAGCCAGCCCGTCTTTGGCTCTCCTTTGCTCGGCCTCGACCCCTCCTTTTCATTGCGTCCGCTCCTTTCGCTCCCTGCCCGTCACTCCTTTGCATCGAGACCACTCAACCTAGTACCTACTTGACGGCTCCCTAGAATCTATTTTCCGAGACGTAGTATTTACAACAACAACAGCAACAACAACAACAATAACAAAGCTCCCAATGAAGCTGCTTGGTGCACTTGTCGCTCTCGCGGCAGCCACTGCAGTCGCTGCACCGGCACAGCGGGTCAAGGGCCGCAATCTTGTAGCCGACGACGCCCCCCATGAGGACGATGGCAACTTCATTAGTGCTGTGATGCGAGCTCACTGGTACTGGCGGAGGCTGCATTGTGCCCAGGATCTCGTCTGGGACAGCGAGCTTGCAAAGGCGGCACGTGCCGACATTGAGGAGTGCACCCATGACCCTGAGCACGTAAGTGATGGAGAGAAGAGGCCAAAAGATGGCGGCTGACGCAAGCAGAAACGGCCGGGCAGCAACCTCTCGTCTGTGAGCCCGGCGCCGGATGACTACGATGGCTGGATCGAGTTTGCGCGGACTGCTACGCACGGCTGGCACGAGGAAGAGACCAAGTACCCCTACGACAACCCGCACTTTGACGCAGCCTGGGGCCATTTTACGCAGATGGTGTGGCGCAACACGACGCGCATTGGCTGTGCCCTCGGCCACTGTGACAGCACGGTCAACTGGCCGGGTCGCTTCTACTGCTGTGAGTGAGGAGGATGCGAGGCTGTGGGCATGCAGTGGCTGACGCAAGCAGACTACTCATTCTTTGGCAATAACATTGCGGCTGGCCAGTTTGAGGCGCAGGTCTGGGCGCCCGTCTGCCACGACCCGGCGGCTGGCGAGGTGGTGGCACGTCAGGATGTCAAGTTCGACTGGTCTGGCGCGTGAAAGGCTGCTTGACGGCCGTGGCACGAGGACGGGCGTAGCGCCTGTGTACGCCCATGGCCAAAGCAGGGCGAGTGCAAAGGATGCTTTTTCTGGATGACATGTCGGACGGCTTCACAGGGGCCGGGCCCTGCATTCGGCGGCCGTCTTGGGTAGCTCACGATGGCCTGGCTGGCCTGGGAGACGGGCGCATCAGGGCGAGTTTGGTAGCCATGACGGGCCTGGGCGTGATGCTCGAGGGTGCACGACGATGAAGAATGCATGCTTTCCATCTCTTTCCTCATATCAACACGGGCGTGCATTCATTGCGCTGGCGTGATTGGTGCAGCAAGGACCCGCGGTGGAAATACATGTTCCACGTAGCTGTCATGTATGTATAGTACAAACATGACATGGTTGAGGCTGAAGGGACATGACGCAGGGGCCATGGCGATCGCGATCGAGGGGACCAGGCGGCCATTGGCGTGCATGCATGGCAGAGGCAATCGGTCCTACGCCACGCCGCCCACCTCGCCCATCTCGCCCATCTTGCCCATGGTCGCCTCATCGCCCACTGTTTTCCCCGTCGCGCGTCTCCATGGACCCAAGGGAAGCTTTTTCCCTGCAGCTGTCGACGGAGCCCTCTCGCCATGCACACACATAGGCACCGCTGGCCTCGCCCACGCCCGCGCATCCCTGCACAACGGCCATGCGCCCGGCCGCCATTGCATCATGGCGCCGCCACCACGAGCCTCGAACCTACATAGGCCCTGCTGCTGCCGCTGCTGCCATCACTACCACTACCACTACCACTACTGCTACCGACAACCCCCGCTAGACAGGGCGACAAGCACACCCGACGAGAGCGAGTGAGAAGAGCAGCAGTACATGCTCCTAGCGCCCATGGACAGTAGCGAGCCCTGCTTTTTCCCACCACCTTCCTTCCTCGTGCCTGTTGCGCGTGCCCAACCACCACCCCTCGACACCGCATACTTGAACGCCCTCCCTTCCTCCCTCCCTCGCTCCCCGCCGCGCCCGGAGCCTCCCCCCCCCAAACTACCAGACTGAACATTGCATACTCCCATCCCGTCCGCCATGTTAGAGAAGCAGGAATACGGCCGCCGCGAAGGCGCCAGAGGAGCTGCACCCATGTTGCCCCTCTCGCTGTCTGGAGAAATCAACGCCGCCACACGGTATGTTTTGCCTGTGGCCTCCCTTTCGTACCCATGCTGACTTCCCAAGCACCCTACACACAGCCCTCAATCGCTTGATTACCTCGCGTCTGCCGCTTGCCCTCCCACCCCACACCTCGGACCCCGCCCTCTATGCAACCGGCCTTGTGCATTTTGCGCACATCTTCCTGACCTTTGAATCCCTGTGGGCCGACTTACTGCGCGACTATGCCCCCTCCCAATCGCTCAATGGCCCGCCCCAGCCAGCGTTAGACCCGGAAGGCGCCTCCTCGCCTTTTTCGCCACTCCTGTCCTATCTCCTCGTAAATCCCTACGACTCGCCCTCGCTCTTCACATCCACCCTGGGCGCGCCAACACAGCCGTCTCCACAGCTCGCCACCTTCCTGCAATCCTTGCGGCCGCGGGGGCTCATACGCTCGGGCCGCCTCAAGCACGACTTGGAATACCTGCTGGGTCTCCACCCCACCGACTTGGAGGTCATGCTCGCCAAATATCCCGGGGACAAGGTCGCGCAATTTTGTACTCACATCCGAAAGAGCGTCAATGAGAAGCCATGGACACTGGTCAGCTACGCATGGTGTTTCTACATGGCCATCTTCTCCGGTGGGCGCTGGATAAGAGGGGGCCTGTTGAGCGCCCCACCAGGCTTCTGGCCAGCCCATCACGATGAAGCCAAGACATTACAAGACCAAGGGCTTTCCTTTTGGCATTTCCCTGGACCCCACGACGGAGAAGACATTAAAGCCGAGTTCAAAGCACGCCTCGCCGCCGCCGACCTTATTTTCACTCCCGATGAGCGCGTCGACATAATCGAAGAAGCAAAAGAAATCTTCAAATTCTGCGCTTCTCTCGTCGACGAACTTGACGAAATCATTGGCACCAGTTTCGCGCCTACAACAATCACACTGCCCGACCAGGACACGGTTGCACACGAGAAACAGATGCTGATGGATCCAAATGTCATGCGCAGGGCCCAAGTCAGCAGCCTGAAAAAGTCGACCAATTCAGTCAGACTGTTTCTCAGGCGACCAGAGGTCACGGGGACCGTCTTGGCCATGGGGTGTCTGGCTTGTGTTGCGCTATTCAAGCTGCAGTAATGACTGACGTCATCTCTTTCGGATTTTTCTCTTCTTGTCTTTGCACCTGCATAGTTAGGGCGTCTTGGCCTTTTTTTTGTCAACGTTTCTCTTCAGGCATCACAGTACTTCAAGCAGGGGATATTACATAAGCATACGGTCATTGGTGTTTGTTCGTTCCTCACCTAGTCATACTCGTACATGATGGCTATTTTTCGGCAGTTTGTTTCTCCTTGCTTTTTTGTAGTTTTTGTCCAAATGTTGGGATGTAGCTTGTCTGTATGTCTATATGTCTGTATGTGTCTATGCATAGTGGAATGGCGCTGGATACCCTTTTTTTTCCTTTCAAGTACACATGGACAGTTGGTTAGCTGCTTATTATAGATTATTTATTCATGCTAGGAACAATGCTAGTTTTGTTGCACTGGATACATGGTCTTGTGAAGTGCTGTGGTGATTCGAGATGGGTTTGTGGCCGCTGTTATGAGATGGGTAGATGGGGTAGATGGATTAGATGGACAAGAGATTGTGTGTAAATGTGTAGTCGTGGCTAGATATGGAATAAATAGGTGCGGTGAGATGGACATGACATGCTGAGATGGATGTATGGGTCTAGCAGATGAAACCAGCTATCGTCAACAAGGAAGAGGACAACGACGTGGTATGGTATAAATTCGACTACTTAGTAAGCTTAGAAATACGATTCATCTATGCTATGATTTGCTCGGATACGATACGATATAACTGACCTGACTTGGAATAACCTGACATCTTCACACTACTCCTAACCTCAGATATCCATTTCTCCGCCTGATAAGCTCCTGCTATGTATGTATGTACCCAAACTCTCATGCAGCAGCCTCGACACTGACGAGCCTCGTTCGCAACGGACACCGCTCCATAGCATATTGATACATTGATACACGCAGTCATTGGTAGAAAGTAGCTGGTAGTAAGAAATATACACCAATGTTGGATTATCGTCTCTGTCACACCTCTGCGCACCTTGCCGTCGTGTACCTCGCCGCTATGCATCCGGGTCGTAGCACCTATACTCACCGGTGCATGTAGCGGTGAGTCTTCCTTGTCTAGAATATATATATATAGTAGTCCTATGGCCGTGGCCTTTTATGTATCAATTTAGAGATTTTCTATTAGTATTTTTATTCAATTTTATATACTGATAATAAGTATAAAAAGCTTATTTTAAGTATAATTAAAAGTGATAGCTATTTAGTTCTTCTTAGCTATGATAGAACATAATTAATATACTTAGTAATATTATATATATAACGTATTCCACCACCGAGAGTGCCACCCCACCGAGTGTGCCACTTTTTCTTGGCATCGCGAACATCACATATGAAAACTTGA